CAGAAGAAACTCCCTTCATCCTCATGGGAATCCTGCATCTGTCTAAGAAAATCAGGATCAAAGAGATTTGGGGGCTCTAATTTAAAAAAAACAAGAATCTTCACTCCACCACTACAGAGGCACCACCTAAAGAAAGGTGACATGCCCAAGGTTACACAGTACCAAAGTGAAAGCCTGGCTGCTGGTACCGCAGGCCTGTGTTCACTGCACACTCAAGAATCTGCATCCAAGTCTTTCTCGGAACAGAGGGTAAGGATAGAAAAACAAAAACACGCAAGGCCTATTTTAAACTAGAACTATGCTAAAATCATTTTAAACTACCTTCTACCTAAAACTTGCTACCAGAGAGTACCATAAGCTCTGTCAAAAACGACCAAATCAAATCTGTTAATTTCCCGTGAGCACATAAAATTAATAAAAAGGTTTGAGGAGTGGAGAGCTTTTCAAACTATCAAAAACCTAGTTGAAAGTGAGGGAAAATAAAGGGTCTAGTCCCCTTGTTTAAAACTAACCTAGCAAAGTAGAGTGGAACGGAACACACCTGTACTCCCAAAATACAACACACATTTAAATAAAGTCAGGAGACCGGTGGGTGACTTACCGGAAACAACGCAGAGGTGGGCGGAACCAGAACGAGTGAGGATAACGTCTCTGGTCTCCAAGCTCTACAGTTAAAAGGGAGAAAAAGTTACGTCGTGGGCCTCAGGAAGCCTGACCACGATGTCCCCGGTGAGGTTTTCAGAGAGATAGGCCTCCTGAGACACCAGCCCACAAACCCACAAACTCGGCTGGCTCGGAGACAGGGGCCTAATTAAATGCACTCCGCGATTCTGATTGGAGAAGCGAGGTGACCTGGCCACACACAACGAAACCCGAGGACAAAAGAAGTACCAGGAGCCAACACTCACCGCAAAGCCTCACGCTCGGCCTCCACAGAAACGGGTCGGAAGTTCGGCGACTTTGGCACCGGAGAGGCGTTACAGAAAAAGTGGTCCGGCGGAGCCCCAGGATGCAGAAGAATTGGCCCGTGCTTTCAGTTCCTCCCGATAAAGCCCTGATTTTCTTCTTAGTGTTTCACTTTACCACCTGAATTGTGGATAACAATTTTAATTAAACTATGCACTTCCACTTCCAGAAACATACTTACCAGCCACAGTCCTTTGGTCTCAAGCATCCACGGGCACCAAAGCATGGTCCAGGTGGTGGCACCTAGTAGCCACAGTTAGACGAGCGAGATCAGTCATGGTCGGCCCTCTTTAGCCACATCAGTATGCCAGTCACAGAGTCAAAGATGCCCTGTTTCCACACACTCTCAGATTCTAGACACACTCGTCCCTAGATAAGAGTTTCAGAAACCAAGACTGTTGCCTGAAGGGAGAACCAGTTACTTCAACAGCCACCACAGCAATCTGTCTGTCTTGTAGGTCTAACAGAATATCACAGGCAACCTATAAATGTGCACTGAGTAAGGAAACCTGCCTGTCTTTTTCTTCACCATTTCTTTAGAACCTAGTCCATAGCTAGTTATCTTAGATATACTGTGTATTAATTACCTACTACTAATAATGTGGTATAGTAAATGACCATTTGTGCGTCTGGCCTTGTGCTAGGTCCCAGAGCCATTAGGAGATATATGTCATGTATTACAAAGAATTGACTTATGTGATGGAGAGAGCTAGTTAACGACACCAAAATTCATAGGGTACGCCACTTGGACACTGTTTCTAACCTTTACATAACCATAGCCAGTGTGTGACCCTCCCTAAACTTGTACTGCTGACTTTATCTGCCTGATTTTCTACCCTGTTGTGATCTTGTTTATCTTTGAAGACAGGATTTTTAAAGACCTCCAATCTCCTCTTCAGGTTAGTTTATCAAAATAAGTTGAAATTTAAGATGGCTGACAGAGAGAGCAAAAGAAAAATCGCCTCTAACTTCATTGTCACCTGTCTGCCTTTTAAGTGGCATACTCCGGCACTATGGCAGTCGTCAACTAAAAGGAACCACAAAAGCATGCACAAATTCCTGGAAACCGCCTGCCATTCCTGGAAAGATTAGGAGTCCCCTGACCCCTTTACTGGCCTCATTTCTTTTGCACCATATCTGCATCTTCTCAGCCCCAATTGGTCAAGAGGTTGATTTATCTCCTATTTCTGTTCCTAACCAAGAACGAGTCCCCCTTGCTGCTAAATGTGTCTTCTTGCTGGTGCTGCAATTCTAAGAGAGAAGAATGACACAGGATGGGGATGAAAATTTGGTAATTGGCATTTTCAATCAATAAAAGAGAACGGTGAGGTTCAAAGAGGGGCCTAGACCCGGAGAGTGCGGGACCAGGGTGTAAAACATGATTTAGCTGGAGTTCTGGTCCCTGTGCTGCTGTTCCTTGTCTGTCATACTTCCCCAGTGACAGCTGAAGCCATCAATATGTCCCTCTCACAACTTCACAATTCATCTCTTAGGAGATTGAATCATCGCAGATCAGGCTAGATGGGGCAATCATGGTTTAATCACATTGAGCTGCCACAAGGTTTCCCAGAGGCGATGTTCACCGTCAGGCACATCAATCTCAACCGGCCCTGTCAGTCCCCTCCCCTCCCCTCCCCTCCCCTCTCCACTGACATCTTCAGAGCTGAGCTCTGTGGTGTTGTCTCTGGGCTTCCTGTTTCAGATGGCTTCAGCATCTTTTCAGAGACTTGGGGCATTTAACAACAAGAGTTGTGTGATACAAAGATGATGGCTGGGAATCCAGCTTTGTGAACTATGTTCATCCAAATCACAATTTCTCAACTTTGGCACCATGGGCATCTGGGGCCAGGTAATTCTTAATTGAAGAAAGCTGTTCTGTGCTTTGGAAGAAGTTAGGCAGCAAACCCAGGCTCCAATTCATAGAACACTAGACAACCGTGACCAAAAAAATGTGTCTAGAAATTGCTTCATTACCCTCTTCAACCCAAACTGAGAAAAACAAGGATTTAAACTATCCCAGTATTTCCCTGGAAGCAGAGAAACTAGTTTTCCAGGTCCAGGTGGCACGGAGTGCTAATGTTTGTAAACTAAGTCCTATTCTAAAAGGATTCTAAAAGTAATTGCTCATTAAAAGAAACCTACACGGAAAGGTCTGGAAAACTTTCACCGAGCTCCTTGTGGTTGTTACCTCTCACAGCCAACAGGCCTCTGGAGAAGAGTGGGTTCTTGTCACTGTGTAGCCTTTGCGTCATTTAGTGAACTGGCTTTACAGAGAAAAGCAGTAATCGTATCTGGAATGACAGGCTGTTCAGAATGTAGGTTTAAAAAAGTATTTAGGATGGTATGTACAGATATCTTCAACTCAAAAAAGACTTGTTTTGGCTGGGCAGTGTTGGGGCACACCTTTAATCCCAGAACCCAGGAGGCAGAGGCAAGCTAATCTCTGAGATTGAGGTCAACCTGGTCTACAGAGTGAGTTCCAGGACAGCCAGTGCTACACAAACAAACCCTGTCTTGAAAAACAAAACAAAACAGACTTGTTTTGTGAGATTTGAAGAGATATAGAATGGTGACCTGGGTACTTTTCTTGACAGGATAAAACAGAAAATGTAAAATGTGTACCCTAAGTGATCCAAGGGAATTTAGATTTTACATAATTATGGTTTTAATTTTAATCTTTATTCATTGCTTTCTTTTAGGGGTAGGCTGTGTGCATCCCAGGCTAGTTCTATACCACTCCCACCCCACCCCCAGCATACTCACTATACACCCCAGCCCTTTCCATTTATTTCTGTGGATGTGCTTTTCTTTGGCAAGTGGCACTAGTTATTTACTTTTGGAATTTTTAAAGTTATTAATTTTCGCAGTACTGTTGGGTTGAACCTAAAGCCTAGTGCATGCTAGGCAAGCTACATCCCTAGCTCCATTTTTGTTTTTATTTTTTAACATTTTATGGTGTGTGTGTGTGTGTGTGTGTGTGTGTGTCTGTGTCTGTCTGTCTGTCTGTCTGTCTGGGGAAGCACGTGTGCCATGATGTGCATGTAAAGATCAGAGGACAACCCACAGGACTCAGACCTCTCCTTCCACCATGAGGGGCTGGGGGATCGAACTCAGATCGTCAGTCTTGATGGTAAGTGCTTTAGCTAAGTCTTTATCTGCTGAGCCATCTCAGCAGTCCCCTAATTTCCTTTCTTAAATGTTTCCCAAGTGAGTTAAAGAAAAGTTAAGTCAATAAGGGTGGTATGACAACATGAAGCACGTGGCAAGATTGTGGGCATGTTGTTTTACAAGGCTCCCATAGAGGGGGTTTGATTTTCTTTCGGATGGATCATGCTACACCTCCCGGCTCCAGGTCCTGGGACCCACATACTTACTGTGCCCTCTGCATAGAAAGTTCTTATTCAAGGTTTTCACCTCACTGGGTCTTTCTCTTTATTAAGCTCAAAAATGACTTCCTTAGGGAGGTCCTTAACTGGCTAACCGGTTTCCCCCTTTGTGGTGTTGGGGATCACACACAGAGCCTCACACATGCTAAGCACACACTAAGCTACACTCTCAACTTTGGCCTTGTTAAAATGGCCGCCACTGCTTCCTCCGCGTTTCCTTCCTAGAGCTGATCTCTCTAACCTGTCTTTCCTGTCTCACTGTTTCCTCCACTGGATAGAAAGCCCTCGACCAGTAAGGATTTTGCCCTGTGTGCCGTTGAGCCCATAGAGCCTAAGCCAAGGCCTGGGTCACAGTAGGAACTCCAGACTTTGTTGATTAAAATTGTTCTACATTAGAGCCTGGCTGGATGCATGACTTTAATCTCAGCACTAGAACGGTAGAAGTAGGAGAATCTCTGAGTTCCAGGCTAGGGCTACATGATGAGATGCTGTCTCAGAAACAAAACAATTCCTGTCTCAAAAACAAAACAAAAAATGTGTTCTACATTGGGATGTCTCCACTCCTGTTCTATATCAACTTGTACCAGCATCCGAGGTCAGAGAGGAGAGAGAAAGGAGGGAGATAAGGGAGGCTGAGGGAGTCCATGGTTCAGCATCAAACACATTTATTTCACTTTTATTGAGTATACAAGAACAGAGAGCACACGCATACAGCACGGAGCACTGAGGTGGGGGAGCGTGGGGACAAGAGAGGAGAGAGGGGACTGAATAAAAAGGAACACGACAGCATTGCAGTTGGTTGGTAAGGTGCTTTTTGAAAAAAAAAATATATATATTTAGAGTGATGTTGCTCATGCAATCTCAGGCCAGTCTTGGTATGTGCTTGCAGGATTCAAAAACTGAAACAGGTCCTGGCACTTCCTGTACCTTCACATGGAACAGATCCACAGAAAGCAAAAGTCGGGAAAATAAAGGTGCATGAAACACAGAGTGGGAAAAGGCTCAGGGATCAACTAGTTTACCCTGCTCATTTAGTTAGGTGCAACTAGTTTACCCTACTCCTTTAGTTAGGTGGGATGAAGTAGCTCGGTGTCACGTGGTAAGTTAGGAGCTGCATCTATACGGTCACCCAGAACTCTGACTGCTCTCTGAGACTTTCCCCACTCTGTTACCTGGCCTACTGGATAGAGATGAGACACACACACACACACACCAAAAAAAAAGGCAAAAAGAAAAAAAATAGGCTGAAGACAGACAAGACAACATCCTTATTCTCTATGGAGTGGAGGACGGGAGGACACAGTTTCCTAAATTTGAGCTCTGCAGGTCCCCTCCTCCCTGGGCAGGGAGCTGACCACCTCTCTGGGGGAAGAAGGTCAGAACACCCATGGAGCGAGTATCTCCCTAAATTCTAACACCCCACAAGCTAAGCGGGTCATTTTCTCCTTGCCCTGTAGCCCACATTCAGGGCAGGTGCAACCCTCTGAACAAAGACCCTCCCTCTGAGGTATGTGCGTCCAGTGCAAGCAGGCCATGGAGCCCCTGCAGAGGCAGGGGAGGCCTGAGCCCAATTCCAAGGGGACACAGCCATTCCTGCTCTTGGCTCAGAAACAGCAGGAGCTTGCAGGTTCTAAAGGGCAGGCAGGAGGTTCTGTGGCTTCTCCACCAAGAATGAACAAAGATCCCGGAGCAGAGAGAATGCTTTGTCACACTGGAGTGGAGTGGGTCTACCAGCCTGCACCAGGGCATATGGCTGACTCTGCTGTCTAAAAAGCCTGGCTCTACTTCTCAGCGGCCACAGAGAAAAGCTGCTCTAGCTTCTTGCCCTGTGTCAGGCCAGCACCTGTAAGTAGGGAAGGTGTCCATCGTAGGAATAACTAATAAGCAGGCAAAGAGGGCGCATCTAGCCCGGGCCCCCTGAGAGACACTCCAGGTAATGTCTGATCAGACGGAGGGAGTGGAGGCGTGTTTTGAAACAAGCCAGCTATGGTTAGGGACAGGTTTGTCCGGTGGCATCCCAGGTTCCTCTCCCCCACCACATGCTTCTCCTTCCACCTTAAAAACAGAGCCTGGCACAAACAAGCAACTCATAAACATTCGTTGAATAAATGTATGAACTGCCTTAGCAGGACTAGGAGTGGAATGGGATTGCCGTAGGATATTTCCTTCAGAAAGGGACACTGCTCGTGGCAAGCAAGCCAGGAGTCTGCATATGCCAGAGTGCAATGCCAAGTTGGTGGCCGGGTTTTCCCCCAAGGGCTCCTGTCATCTCAAGGCCATTTCTGAGCTTGGCTACCGACTGACAGAGGTCTTACAAGCCCGAGTCTAAGGCAGATGAAGCCAGTAGGCAACACTTCCTCATACCTGCTATCGTTCTGGGATAGGTGAGGCCTATGGCAATGCAGTATGGCCTATCATGCAGGAGGCCTATCGTGGCCTTTCCCGTGTTCATGGCCTCTTTATCATGGCTACCTTAGCTCAGGAAAAAGAGCACGATTCACGATGGAAGAGGCAGAGGGGGAAGACTGGCTGGGCATTTCAGAAAACCAGGTTAAGAGGGACTGTTTTCTACCTCAGCCAGGGCACCACCTCCCTTAAGAGAAGGAACTGACGGTGACGAGGAGGTGAAGAGCAGGGCAAGACATGGCGGAATACAAACCAAAACAAAGACCCTGGTCACAGTAAAACAGAAAGAGGACTGAAAGCCGTGGCAAGTCCCCCCAGAGCTAGGAGGACTAACCTTTCACCTCAGCAGCAGAGGACTGAGCACAGCCCAGGCCCGGACAGCTATTGCTGGGGGAGAAGGCATCTTGGCCTGGCGTGTTCGGGACTACATCTGTGTTGTTTCCTTCTGGCCGAACCTTCACCTCTCATGGAGGGCCCCCCAGTCTCCCCACCAATTACCCAGTTACAAACACCACACACAGTTTCACTACACTGAATCTGTCAGCCCTACTGGGAGCTGGCCACACCCAGAGTCCAGTGTCCTCGTCTGGGCCAGTTTGGCAAGATCTAGGAACCTTGGGATACATCACAGTCAGGTAATTATAACTTGAAAATGTCAGCTGCATACTTACCAGCACAGTTTATTTTAATATTTGTTTCCTGTTACATGTAATATACATAACTTAAAATCACAGTCATACAATCTCCTATGAGCTGCACCTCCATCATGAGAAACCGGAAACACAATGTCTACTTCCCTTCCCATGGCTTCCTTTTGCTCTCGAAGTCTCTTTTTCTTCCAATGAGAGTCATCTGCAGTGGCCCTCAGGCCGGACCAGGACACAGAAGAGGAGGGTCGGGGAGAGAGGCGGGAGGGAGCTGAGACAGAAAATGGAGACAAGATGAGCAGAAGTCAAGGGTGAAGTGGGGAGGGCAGAAGGACAGAGAGTGGATGCCGCAGCCCAGTGTCAAGACCCGGAAATAACAATCGAGTGGTCCTCCCCCTCCTCCTCCCAGTGGGAGACTTCCATTCTTTTTTCTTGGAAAACAGTGGACTGTGCGTGTCTTGCGGCTGTGACTTCTCTTGCTTGGCTACGTGATCTTATTTTTCTCCTCCTTCACATTAGGGGGAGCAACAGAAGCTGGGAAGAACAAACGGGGTGCTTGCCCGTCCTGGAGTGTGTGCAGCCGAGGTTCGAGGGGACATCTACAATCATCATGGTCTGCTTTTGTAGTTTGGCAGGAGAAAGGGGCCAGGGAACAAGAGATTATGATTGTTACATATTTTCCTGGAAAAAAAATTCCCACCAATTCAATTTGTCTGCAAAGGAAATGAAGGTTGCTGCAGATGTCGGTTGTTGCCATCAGCTGACAGCTCCGCCAGCCCCAGAGCAGTGCAAGGACGCGGTGTTTCCTATATATATATCTATATCTCTATATATCTATATATATATGCTTTCCCTTCCCAGTCTCTCATCAGTGACAGTACGTCGCAGCTGGGATGTTGGTGTTGTCGGAGAATCCAGAATGAAGGCCCCTTCTTAATGGTTCTCTGGCTTGGGTTGGACCAGACATGCCAGCATCTCTTCACAGAGGTCAGGATTCCTGGGTGCCAGAAGCAGGGGAACAGGGTGATGGGTACAAAAGAAGGAAGATAAAGGAAATTAGTTACTTTAGCCACTTGCCTTTAAACACACAGCAATCAGTTTTCCTAGCTACCATTTGTCCTGCATTGTAGCCCAGAAAGAGTGACTCTCCAAGAATTTCCTTTTCTTTCTTCCTTTCTTTCTTTCTTTCTTTCTTTCTTTCTTCCTTCCTTCCTTCCTTCCTTCCTTCCTTCCTTCCTTTCTTTCTTTTTTTCAGAGACAGCATTTCTCTGCATAGCCCAGGCTGTCCTGGATCTCACTCTGTAGACCAGGCTGGCCTTAAACTCAGAGATCCACTCGCCTCTGCCTCCTAAGTACTGGGATTAAAGGTGTGCATCACCACCATCTGGCTTCCAAGAATCTTTTTACTGCTTCCTCCTCCCTCCCACATGCTGAGCTCCAGACCTGTACCTGTGGCTTCTTGTCCCTCTCCTCCGGGGATGGGTCTGTTTCTCTGTAGACAACAGCTTTGGTTACCAGCATGTCTGGATGCTGTAGTTTGGCTTCCTTGATCGCCAAAGCCAGGGCCTGGTGGGCAGAAAAGCATAGTGAGGCACCACAGAATAGTGCCTATGAGAGAAACTGAACACAAGCCCCTACTGCATAGCTGGGGAAAACTAAGGCCCAGGAGGGGCCAAGATAAACAGAGGACAAGACTAGAGTTGGAATCTTCTGGTCTCCATCCAATGCCCCTTCTTGGAGGTCAGCAAGGGGTGGACACCTTCTCTGCTCAGAAGGGTAGCCCCCCATAGGTCACCATTACAGATGCTGGATACTGGGCTGTGCCCTGAAAATACTTCCCCGCCTCCAAGCCCTGTACCTGGTCTTGATCGACATCTTCGTCCCCAGTAATGATGATTCGCTTCTCGATCCTTGTCTCAGAAAACCCTCCTTTCACAGTCTGTGGGGAGAGAAGGAGAGGGCAGGGGAGAGAAAGGCGAGGTTCCGCTTAGGTGAGCTGTGACAGACCTACACACGTCAGCCTCAGTCAACCACCTTTCCTGCCTTCCTTGGCATTCTCTTCTAGTTTGAGGACTTCAGGTTGTCATCACTCCCCAGCTCTCGAAGTGTCCCATTGATGTCTCCCACACCCAGCTCAGACGCTGCTCCTTGGTTGGCAGGGTCCCAAAGCATCCCGTCCCGGCCTTCCCCAAGCACTGAGTCTATATCTCTCATGGTTTGGGCCTCTGCATGGTGCTGACCTATGTGCACATGGCCTTGCTCACCTCTCCAGACTTCAAGACCTGGAGAGGGGGGCTTGTACTTTGATCACCACAGTGTCCCTTCACCCCGCACCTTTCCCCACCTGACCTGGCAGTGCTGAATCTGTTGAATGAGCACATGAATGGAATGTGAATGGTGACAAGGTTCTACCTTAAATGACCTGGAGACGAGATTCTACCTTAAAAGACTTGGAACAATCCTATGAAGATACTTTATTACCTCTCCTGTTTTCTCAAGGAGTGGGGCTTAGAAGCAGAGGATGGGGTGGGGCCTAACTGTTTGGCATGTCCAAGGAGGATGTGACCCAGGAAAAGCCTAGCTGGAGGTAGGCAAGGGTGAACCAAAGGGGCCCCTGAGTGGTGAGGTACAGAGGAGAGTTTCCTAAGGCACACACTGTGGGGTGTGCGGTGTGAGGCATTCCCATAAAGCCCATGTGCTTCTCTCAGGTGTTTTGAGAGGTCGCTTCCTGGGAGATGTGACAATGCTACAAAGTTGCAGGCGAGTGTTACCAATCAGACTTTCCCTTCTGTGGGGTCAGCTGGACCTTCAACTCAATCCCCAGGGCTCAGCCTGGCTCCTCAGGCTTCTAGTCATGGCTGGACCTCTCCCTTTCTCCCTGGCGGCTCAGCTGTGCACTTGCTGCGGCCTCCTTCTCAACCCTTCCTCGTTCCCTGGCTGTCACAGCTGATAGCCCCTAGGAATGCCTCCCTCCTCTGTCCTGTTCTCTTCCAACTCTCCTTTGGTCCAAGCCCTCAAGCCCAGGCCTTAGTTCTTCTTCCTCTACCTCCCCACACCTATCAGACAGCCCAGCCACCTTTCACTCCCAGCTCTAGGGAGCCTATCTCCACTGAGTCACTACCTAAGTTAAATTTCCTCGTGACTAAGATCCTGCATGATCAAATCAGGCCCAGTATCTGGTGCCTATCTTGTCTGCCCCCATTCTGCACTTCCTGCTCCAAGTGCATCTTAATTTCCCAGTCCCCTTTCTACACACTGCTTCCTGGTTTCCTACAAACACTCCAGCAGGCTGGAAGTCCAGTAAGGTTGATAGTCACTTAGCATTTGCTTAATGAAGAGGTAAACACCCAGTGTCTCTGCCCCTCCTGCTAGCATAGCACGCCTCCTGGCTGCTATACCCTCAGGTGTTCTGCAGAGAGTCCCAAGACCCTACTCAAACTCTATTCTCTTCTCTCTCTTGTTCTGGGTGGGTGGGCCAGCAGGGAGCGGGAGGACAGGACAATGACGGATAAGGAGAGAACCTCTGCTAGGCAAAGACTCTACCATTGGGAAATAGCTCCAGTCCTCTCTACTTTCTGCTTTGAAACAGGATCCCATTAAGTAGCCCAGGCTGTCCTGGACGTTCAGTCCCACATCAGCTTTCTAAGTAGCTGGGACTGGAGACTTGTACTACCAGGCCTGGCAAACCACAGCTTTTTCCAAATGACACTGCTTGACTTTGGGGAGCTTCCTGCACATCTCTCTTCTGAACTCTCCTGGCTCTCAAGGCCTGTAAGATGCAGACATCATTGTTTAGAGAGAACATCTGATCCCATAGGTTAGCTGCCAATGCCGTGGGCAAGGCCTACTCCCAGACAACAGTAGCACAGGGCAGCACACTCCAGTACTGGCCAAGGTCCCCTCTGTGAGCCTTAGAGAATGAGGAGCCAGGGGTCAGCATGGTAGTGACCTTCCCACCTACAGCCGCTGGGGCCCTGAAGCCCACTGGGGCCCGGGAGCCTGCTGCTACTCACTTTGGTGACATGGGTGGTGGTGGAGGTTGAGAGGGTTTCCGCAGTGGCGCCGTAGGTGCTGGTGAGGACATCTTTCCCGATGATCTGCAGAATATAACCACCCCCACCCCGGGGGTCAGGTCAGGGCACTGGGCTCTGAAGGCAGGCAGGGCTAGGGAAACTTCCCCAGGGAGAAGCAGGGGCCCGTGAAGGTGAAGCAGGGATGCCAAGATGCTTTGAACCATTCATTCTTATACAATACCAGACTCTTTCCACATCTAGACCTAGAATATTCCCAAACCCAGGCATCTGTAACTCTTAGATGAATCCCTACAGCCCAGCGTCCTAACAACGGCCTAGAATGGAAGAGTCCTAGAAAAATGACCAGATGGATCCAGACAGCAGACAGAGCCCCCAGGACCTCGTCCTGTCACAGGCAGGAACATGCTCTCTCTGGACTAGGTATTGAGAACAGCAAACAGAGGATTAAAGTATCAGAAAAGACCTCTAATGACAGACTCGGGGCCACCAGTGGGGCAGTCACCAACAGAGTCCGGCCTAGAATCCAAGCCTCTGGACTCCTAACTCCCTGCTCTTCCTGCTTTATAAGCTGACACAGCAGTGTGTGTCTGTGTGTGTGTGTGTCCTGTTTACCCTCAGCCCTGATGACAATGCTTTGATTACATGGGGGGGGGGATGCTGATGGGCACCTTGGGGAGCATGTGGGCATTTGGAATGGTACTGAGCACCTCACCGCACTTGCTGTGGCTGCATGCCCGCATGCCCGGCTTCAAGTCCCCTAGCCTGAGCTGGTCCTGCCTACTTACCGGTGAAAGAGAACGGATTTCCGTGGCCACCGTCTGTGGGCCGGGGATCATGGCAGCTGCCCCCTTCCCGGACTTGAGACTGTTCTCCTGGGGAGACAATAGTGCTCAGATGGCCAGGTCTCAGGTCAATAGGCCTCCAGGAGAGCCAGGGCATGTGACCGTGTGGTCATCATCACCACAGGGTTTAGAAGCAACACAGAAGCAGAGAGCTGAGGCACCCATTCAGTCCTCCCTTGCTCAATCCCACACACATGTGCATGCTCGCTTGCACACTCACTCCGCAAACATTTACTGAATCCCTGCTATTCGGGATGCCAAGGCAAACAGGATACAGTATTGCTCTCTGGAAGCCCTAAAAGGAGTTGGGTGGCCCAGGCTCTTGTCCTGGACCTGCTGTGAACTTTGAGGCAGAGCCACTTCCTCCCTACTGTCTGTGGAAAAGGACCTTCGTCTATTCCTCTGGAGCCCTTAAGCTGTTGGTAAATGCAGGAGTGCAGGTGGATGAACCATGTAGGTACTTCCCAGGACCTGCCAGGCACTGGGCATTTACCAGGTACGTGCATGCGTGTAACTCATTTAACCTTCGCAGCCACTGCAGGCAATCCCTGGCGGCAGTCCTATCCTGCAAGGGACACACAGTATGTGGCTTGTTAACGTCCTACAGCACGACAGTGGTGGAACCAGGAGTTAACTCCCAGCTGAGCAGCCTCCAAGGCTGTTAGGTGCTTGTGGTCCGCGCCAGTCTGCCCTTGGAACTGTCACTCTTGAGCCAGCTCCCCTGGCCTTATTCTAAATTCTAACTGCTGGAGTTCCCTGGAATTGTCACTGGACTTGGTGTCCTGTATCTGGCCAAGGGACACTGAGGGTCTTTTTTGCTGTCTCTCATGTCTGCTTAGTCTCCAGCTCAGCTTGGTTATAAGCATCTCAGCTAAATGGCAAGTCTTGGTCTGTGCACGGCAAGGACCTAGACTGCTGTCTTCCTGCCACAGCATGGGGGGAGGACGGAGCCTCTGCCACACCTGCTCTTGCCCTGACTGCCGGTGACCAGGTCACTTGGCACACCATCCTGAGATGCATTCCCGACATCTTGGGTCCCAGACCATGAGGCCATTTCTAGCAGTGTTTTCTTTCTCTCGCTTAGGCAACAGACACCAGCTCCCTTTGGGTCCTTCTGTCTCTCAGACTACGCTCACACACAGCTTCTGATTCTCTATCTTCCCTCTTGTCCTGAGCCCAGCATCCACGGCTCCTCTCCATCTTCATGGTGGAAACAGAAGCCAGTAAGCGGGACACAGGTTGTTCAAAACCTAGGTGCTCCCCTGTCCCGTGCTGGCTGTATTCATAGCCAGAACCATCTCCCAACTCAAGGAAGCAGTTCCTCTCCCTGGGCAAGGCAACCCCCCATCTCTCCTCAGGGCTCCCCTCCATCTACCTGCAGATACCCAGGGATTTCTTCTGCCTCTCTGGTGCCACAGTCTCCTATCCTACCTGTTGCCCAGATCTTAAACCCTAAATCTTCAAAACCAATCATCTCCTGAGCCTTTCCCTGGAAACACCCTACAGATGTCTCACACTGGTCAGACCTGCAGTAGAACTGGTTGCTTGAACCTAACACAAGCATTACACTCCCCTCACACTACCCTAAGGGGTATCACTGAGAGGGCTTGTGAACACAGACTCCTAGGATCCCCAAGTTTCTGAATTAGGAGCTTTGGAGCAGGGTGGGGGACTATGCCTTTGTTGCAAGCACCTGGGACCACACTGCAAACACTGTCCCCAGCCCATCCGTCCGTCCTGTCTCCTGGGCATCCTACCAGTGCCCGCACACTGCACTTTCCTACTCCAGGATCTTCAATCCCTAACTTGGGGGCACCTACCTTCTTGAACCCTGGCAGTGCCCCTGCTGGACACCAGCAACCCTCAAACAGGTTCCCACCTTCTCTTTCTGGCCTAACGTGGGCTCCAGGGTTAGAGATGTTATTTCCTCCAGGACTGGATTCACAGTACCTCACATATTGTGGGTGTTCAATAACTATTTATTAAAGGTTCAGGCCGCACTCACACAAGCTGATAACCTAACCAACACACGCAGCTAATGACAGGCTTCTACTCTAGAAACACTATGGCCCTGTTGTCTTCCAGGACAAAGTTTAAACCATCCTACATGGCATTGGGAACACTTTAAGCTCTGATTCAGACCTCTTTGCAGCCCTCCCCACTGCCCCCTCCTCCTCTGTACACACCTACCAGCCACGTGTGCTCCCTGCCCTTAGGCCTGCTCTCCACAGCCGGAAGTCTTCTCCTGTGACCACAGCTCACCCCATCCTTCATTCACTGCTCTCCTGTCCCTGCCGAGGTGACACCTTCCCTAGATCCTCCTAGCGGAGACGCCACTCATAGCTTCATCCCAGTGGCCCCTACGGTAACTCTGCCGCACTGTCCCATGAAGGCAGAAGGGAGAGACAGCAGCAGCTGACATCTGGGGACACCAAGGCCAGGCTGTGCTTGGGGGCTTTGCACAGGGTACTTGCTCATGCTCGCAGGAACTCTTAAAGGCACGCGCTGTATTGTTCCCACCCCACTTTACAGAAGCGGAAGTGAAGGGTTTGGGAGGTGCAGTGACTTGCCCATGGTGAGGGTTGGGCCTTGCTCATCACTGTGTGCCCAAGACGGACGTACAGACAGGTACTCTGATGACAACCGAACAAAGAATCCTAGTAGGCAGTGGGGCCTCTGCAGGGCGGGGTCCCTGGGCTAGGCAGACAGTAGAGACTCATCAATGTTTTCGGGACAAATGGACAGATGAATGGATGGATGAGGAAATGAATGGAGTAGCTGTCTACTCACCATGAAGACGAATCTAATTGTAGCCTTACAAGTACCTCAATGCCTCAGAGTAACAGTTTGGAGAGAAAGAATTGACCCACGAGGGAAATGGTGCCCTCTGGTGACTGATTTAAATGTACTGATCCTAGAGACTGATTACTTAAAACAACCCACCTGCTGAGAACTCTGACTTAAATGAAACCATCTTCTTAGGTGGAGGTCAGGGGTCAGACAAGGGAAGCCATTCAAAAACAATTCTCTCTAGCTCAAGTAATATCTGGATCAGACATTGCTACACTCTGCAGCCCCAGACCCATAAAGCTGATGTTCACACAGGTCAGGACAGGGGCAGAGCAGAGCAACTGCCAACGAAATCGAAACTTCTGGTGTTAGAATGCCTGAGACTAAACTGGTATTTATTGGTCATGTGACCTTGGGTTCATCCCTTTATTTACCCCTGAACTCATTGTTTTCTCATTTGTAAAGGATGTCAAAGAAAGAAGAGTGGATACCACAGTTTATAACCCAAAGGTCAGACGTCTCTGGGGACTGCCTGGCATCACAACCTGTGATTACAATACTGTCTGTTCGATTTCACTGTTAAGGGCTGTAGAGTAGTGGTTCTCAGCCTGTGGGTCTCAACCTCCACAAGGGTCACATATTAGATATTCTGCATATCAGATATTTACATTGTAAATCATAACAGTAGAAAGATTACAGTTATTACAGTTTACAGCAATTAAATAGTTTTATGGTTTGGGGGTCGCAAAACATGAGGAACTGTATTAAAGAGTCACGCATCAGGAAGGTTGAGAACCACTGAATTAGAGTCTCATAAGAAGCTGTGAGCCACATAGAAGGGGGGGTGACTCCTATTTTACGGATGAGGACACTTGAAACCAAGGACTTTACTGGTTAGAGAGCAAATAAATAGCAAAATCTGCAAGGTCCCTTAGATCTGCGTTTCCAACCCAGGTTCACTGCTGCCATCTACTGGTCACAGTGAGAAAGTGTTCTGAAACTGCTGGTGACTGGTTTGGGTTTGCTGGCGGGATAGGGGTGGGGTGGGGCTTTCAGGCTAATGTCTACCTGTAGGTAAAAGTCACCTGGTATTGCAAGATTCCTGCATGCTGAGAATCAGGCCATTCTACCCTCCCTCTACTCCTGCATGGCTGAGATGGCCCGGATAACGGAGGCTCTGGAACTTCACTCCCCACATTATTCAAACTGATTACACTATGTACAAAAGCAGCCAAGGAACCAGACAACAGGAATCCAGCCATCTGTCTCACCACCATGAGGGCAGCTAAGATCTTCCTGAAACAGCTGCCAAGTTCTGGCTGTTGCAGGGAATGAGGGGTGGGTCAGAGAGAGGAACTGCCCGATCCCACTTACCATAGTGGTGGAGACTGTCTCTGTGGTGATGCAAGGAGGGGTCACCATGAAGTCTTTCCCCACGGGGGCACCCCCATCAACCTGCGAGGCAGACGAGGAGGCATTAGAGACTATGTCACCTGGCTTATGGCAGTCCCAGTTACAAAGTGACAAGCTCCGTGAGTGGGGGCGTGTACCGGGGGTGGTCACAGAGCACTTTAGAGGGTACCAAGGCTCTTCAAAGGGTTCATTTCACTGTCCTACTGAACAAAGGAAGGGTGACCACATCCAAGTTGATTAATTCTACCCAAGCTTTGATTCAGCAACCCATGGGAAGTTAACATGGCACGTTGGTTGGTTTTATGCCAACTTGACACAAGCTAGAGTCGTTTTGGGAAAAGGGATTCTCAATTGGGAATATGCCTCCACAAGACTGGCCTGAAGGCAAGTCTGCCAGGCATTCTCTTGACTAATGATTGATGTGGGAGGACCCAGATCACTGGAGGCAGAATCATTCTTAGGCAGCTAGTCCTGGATGGTATTAGAACAAGGCTGAAGCTGGGTGGTGGTGGTTCACACCTTTAATCCCAGCACTCAGGAGACAAAGGCAGGCAGATCTCTATGAGCTCAAAATCAGCTTGATTCTACAGAGCTAATTCCAAGACAGCCAGGGTTACACAGAGAAACCCTGTCTTGAAAAACCAACACCAAACAAAACAAGAAAAGTAGACTGAGCAAATCATGAGGAGCAACCGGGAAGCAGCACTCCTCCATGGCCTCTGCTTCGGTTCCCACCTCCAGGTTCCTGCCTGAAATTCCTGCCTTGACTTCCCTCAGTGATGGATCATGACCTGAGAGCTGTGAACCCAAATAAACCCTTTCCTCCTCGGTGCTTTTGGCCATGGTGTTTTACACTACAACAGAAACTGGTGCTTTTTCAAGGATCTCCAAGAAACATGAACGAGGAGACTTTACCCCAGATAAAACATACCACAGGGTTCAGTTATGGGAGAGAAAACACAAGTTAGGACATACTTCCTAAGTGGACTCGGACTAGTGGACACAGGGCTGGGGTCGTAGCACAGTTGGTAGAGTGCTTGCTTAGCATGCACGAAGCTTGGGTTCAACTCCCAGGCCCCATTTTAAAAAAGAAAAACCAACCAAACTGGATATGGTGGTGTAACCTGTAACCCCAGCACAGGGGAGACTGAAGCAAGAGGATCGAAAGTTCAAGGTCATCCTCAGCTGCACAGGGAGTCTGAGGCCAGCCTGGGGTAGCTGGTAGGAACCCTGTCCTCATGAGGTGAGAGACAGGAGTGGCAGAGAGACAGAGACACAGAGAGGTGCACATGAGTAAGTTCTAAACTACCTGAGAGCAAAGGGTATGGTGTAAGGCGAGGCCACTCGGATCTAATAATTTTAAATAGAAGCAGATATAAACATCTCTGCTGGCATACGCCTACCCCCCCTCCCCCCGCGACAGCATAAAAAACGGTGTCACTCAGTCTTTGGCATTTTGATGACAAAGAGCTGCCAGGTTATGGAGTTTGGGGTCATTTGGGTTTCTTTATACTTTGCATTAAAACAAAAGCGATGAAAACAAAGCAAGTCAGAGAAGACAAGCGGGTTGACCAAGGTGACCCAGCTCATGATATTCTGTGGCACGAGACACCTGTACAGCCGTTAGTTCGCATGCTGGAACAGTAGGACAAAAAGATGCTGGAGATGACAGTCACTTGTGTTACTCTGTGTCACATTTCAGGTTGTTTGTGCTGGGTGTGAAAGCCAGGGGAAGGCTCTGCCAATGACCAACCAATCTGCTCAGTCCTTCTTGCAGTCGAGACAAAGAGTGGTCACCAGGAGAAGGGACTGAGCACTGTAGCCCTTCTGGGCAAGAAAAATTAGGGGCAATCTCCCAAACCCACAAACTCGGCTCTATGAGCCTTCAACTCTAAAGACCCACAGAGGATACACGGAAAGTGTGCATTAAGTTGTGGGCTGTGTCTAGGCAGGCCAGCTGTCCCGGGGTGCAAGTGAGCTTTGACTCGCTAACACAGACACCTCTAGTCATTTGACCTCGGTTTGTTCATTTTGCCAATCTAATGTGGCACCTCCATCATAAGAAATGACCCAGGCGAGCTGTTCTGACCGAACAGCGATTGAGATTTCTCCTTTTCTCTCCCGGAAGCCACCCTGGGGTAGAAACTCTCCACACCTGTCAAGCCACCATTGAGTGCTGAACACTCCCAGGAGGAAGGAGGCAGGATCACCCTCATTTACAGATGGGGACACTGGGTTTTAAGAAGCACAGTCTTTCCCCACCATTCCCACCTCAGACCTCAGGGAGGATGAGGGAAGGAAAAGATTGACCAAAGGACTTGGCCATTTACTGAGGACCTTCCCTCAAATGCCCAATCCCCACGTCAGGCTACAGAGGAGGCACAGGTTACCTGGGTGCTGTCTGCAGCGGAGACTCGGCTCTGCAGCATGGCCTCTGGCTCGATCTTCTTTCTGATGGCCAGACTGCTGACGGTCATGGTTTCTGCTTTCACGGACTACAGGGACATGAAGGGGACACTTGAAAACTCAAGACCAGACACAACTCCTGTTCACAGGCAACTGGGATGCAGGAGGAGCCAGAGCCACTCCCAGCACGAAGAAAGCCTGACCTCGTGCCCCAGGGGCTGCATGTCTTTCTGAGGCTGTACTAAAGGATGGCTAAACTCTGTGCTCAGAGATTTCTTCCACACATATTGCCTCCACCTCTTTGGCACTTCAGGTAACCACTGTTCAAAGCAAGAACTACATACGTGGAAATATCCAGGGGCCATGCAGTGATGGAAACTGGTGAGCAGGTTTGTTGGCCGAGAGAAACGGAAAGCATGTGCCATTCCGCTCAGGTTTGGCTTTTAGCACAGCCTCTGCTCTGTCTGTCTGTCTGTCTGTCTGTCTGCTATACCCATTTATTTATTTATTTTATAAGGAAATGTGTGTTGTGATTTTTAAATTAAAGCCAGAGAAAACACACCAGTTGGCCTCATGCGGCCCAGGGACACCAGCTTACACACCGGACTCTATGTGTCTCAGGCCACATGACCAGTTTCTTTGGAGTCTTCTCCTAGGCCTAGTTCATGGCTATACACACTGCAGGCTTGATGAATGGAACCTAGCTTGTCATGTAGTTGGAAAGAAGAGGGAGAAAGGAGGGATTCTTCCAGAATCCTGTGATCTAGCCACTCATCCAATTAATCATCCCTTAGTGCTGAGTGTGAGCCAGAATTACAACAGCTGGCACCTGGCGGGAGGGCAGAGCCACCCGCCACTGTCCTGACTGTGCTGGGGAAACATTAGAGCCAAAGCATGGCAGGGCGCAGCAGGATGTGGTGGGGACAGTACCGCCACCTGGGGTGGCCAGAAGAGCATGGAGAAGGGATGTGTGAGTTCCATCCTGGATCACTGTAAGGGGGCACAGAAAGGAATGACAGGTCTACCTAGAGCATCGAGCAAGAGTCCTGGATGGACGAGCTGGTGATCACCACCTGGGAAGAAGGGAAAAGGGGGGGAGGGAGGGGGGAGGGAAGGATGGAGGGAGGGACAGAGGAAGGGAGGGAGGGAGGGAGGGCGGGCTGGCTCAGCTAGAGGTAAAGGGCGAGGATGAGTTTCTGAAAACCAAGGGGTCTCAAAGCAGAGAAGCCCAGATGCTGGCCCTGCAACCTCCCCAAAGGCTGTGTCTTCTCTTTTCCTGGAGTGCCCACTCCACACCGAGGTCTCAGGACCTGGTGGGTTTAAATAATGGCCTCTTCTGCAGGCCCCGGTGAAACGAGCCCTGGCCTGAATCAAGAGAAACCACTCAGGTCTCAGACCAGCTGTGGGAGCCTCGAGAGTCCACAGACACATGCTCTCTGCAGGTGCCATGCAACACGGGCAGGGGGCCAAGGAGTCGTCAGTAAGACTGGCATCACTTGACCTCAGCAAGTGATGGGGTCACAGGGTTAAAACATCATGGGGCGTGTGTTAGGGGTGAACCGACACAGCAAACATGCGGTCGCAGAACCATGCTGTTCTACGGAGGGGCAGTCATGCAACACCAGACAGAGCTTCAGGCTGCAGCTGATGGCTGGTCTTCTCGTGGCCCAGGGCCCTCTGAACATGCAGTGCCCTGTTGGACTGGATCTCCACGAAGCTCCACTGTACCTCAAACTGGGGCATTTCTGGGGTGGAGCAGGCCCCTCGATCTGGGCTGTCTTCGATGCCCCCAGACTCATCCTCTTGACTGGAGGGCCCCTTGAGATCCCGGGAGAACACCAGGCCTTCGGTCTCAGAGTCGCTCTTATCCCGGTCGAGCTCGGGGAGGCTTCGGGAGAAGTCTTCAAAAGCGCTGCCGTGGTAGTCACCAATAACTGTGAAGTCCACCTCAGCCTCCAGGCTGGATGTGGAGCTGACCGTTATGCTGGAGCACTTGCGTTCGATGGCCAGGTGGTTGTCCTTCAAGAAGACCGCATCCCTCTCCTGGTCCTGGTCCTCATCTCCTGTGTCACTCTCTGGGGCACGAGGACGTGGTGGTTTGACTTTCTCCTCCGAGCCCTCCCTCAGCCCAGCTCTCTATGGCCAGATAAAACCAAGGGAATAGGAATATGGGGTGGGGAGAGAGAGAGAGGTCAAGATAGTGAATGTCAGAAGAAATCTCAAGGCTGCAATGATGTTCTCAAATGGAAGAGCAGGTCAGGAAATGAAAAACACGCCCCAGGAAGGTTTCCTTGGAATCTAGCACCAAAACAAAATAAAACAAAAACTTCTCAGAGAGGGGATGCTCCTTTGGAGGGTCTCGCAAGGACGGCAAAGCAAGCTGGCATCCTTCTAGCGAGCTCTGGACAGGAGGCCCCCTCCAAGGCTAGGATCTGAAAGCCTATCAGAAGCAGCACTGTGCGAAAGGCAGGGATGGAGGCCTGGACCACAGGACCATCCGTGCAGGAGGCATTGAGAGGTAAACTGAGGAAGGAGGGCAGGGATTCAGAGGAATTCAGGAGAGGAGGCAAAGAGGCTGAAGCTGGGAGCTCGAGGAACACAGAAGTCAGCAGCCTGTCAATTGCACTGAGTCTCTGGGGGGAGGGCCAGCATCAACCAGAGAGAGGAGAAATTCTAGCTCCAAGGGAGTTCAGTATCACTTTGAACTCTACGGCAACCATGGAGAAGTTCTGGCCCCATCAGTGTAATTGACGACAGCAGGCCAAGGGAATGCCCAAGGAGAACCAGCAAACTTTGTCCTAAATACATACCTCTCAACTGGCCTGTCAGGGATTAAACAACACACGGCTTTGTTTATTTGCTTGCTTATTTCTTTGTCTTAGTTTGCGACTTTTTTTTTTAAAGACCAATCTAACACCCACAAAATGTTTTGAAAAAACTCAGCTCCGGGCTCTGGAGGTTCAGGATGCTTCAGAGATTCATTTGTGAACCAGCCTCCAGTTGGCCAGGTTCTGGAAGGTTGAGAGGTGTGAGGAACACATTCTAGACAAGCCAGAGTGTGAACAGCCACAGGGGATTGGCTACTTGAGCAGGTGGGAATCTAGGGAATGAAGCATCCCAGCCGGATGAAGATGAACAAGTCATCGAGGCACAGCGGGACTGTAGAGACCTGAGGGCCCGGAGGGCTGGCGAATCTCAGGCGCCCCCCCTTCCCAGGGGTGTTTGGTGCTAAGCGGCTGAAGAAGCTCTTCTCTTCCCTGCCCGCATCTCCGGATTTGTTCTGGATTAGAGAAGACAGTTAGTCTTAAGGAGGCAGAAAGAAACTAGAGAGGGAAGTAGAGTGGAGGCAACCTCTGGACTGTCAGCTTCCACAAGGCAGGGTACCAGGGACGGGAAAGGATGAAGAAAGATCACCGGATAAGCCAAGCAAGATAGGGAGGAATTTAGCAGGTGAGACGAGCAAGGCAAAGCAGATACGTGATTTACTACTGTTGGTGGTACCTTCTCTGTGGTTGCTGTGTGACCTTCTGGACACAAGGTCACACCAAAGTCTGGGGGAATCAAACAAGCTAACAAGGGCTAAGCAAAGGGCCCCATCTTTCAGCCTGGGCTATCTCAGGGCTATGTAGGAGAAAACCTTCTAGGGATGAACAAGCAGCGTCATTGCAGGAATGACCAGGTGCCACCAAAACATGCCTCTAAGAGCTACAGAGCATGCGGTCAGTTTCCACAAGTGGGGACTTGGTTGGGGGTGGGGGCTCACATGGCCAGTTACCCCGGTAGCTTCCTCCAGCGTGGTTTCACAGCCTGAGTCAGGGGACAGGAGCTCTGGTTCTGTGTATCTTTCCTTGTGGGAGGTAGCAGAAGAGCCCTCCCCATAGTGCTGGGTAGCCAGAGGTGTAACAGAAGAAGGCGTTAGTTTGGAGCTGGCCAAGTCCCCAGGGGGCTGGAGTTGAACAAAACCCGAGTCTAGAAGCTTATTTTTCTGATGTTCTCCCTGCCCTGGGGAAGCCTCCGAAGGCAGCTCATGTGGAAGGGCCCTCATTTCACCCTGACTGGCTCGGCACGACTCAACTCCATGGGTCTCAAATATCCGAATCTTGTTAGCCACTGAGGTCTTGCTAATATCTTCCTGGGAATCCCCTTGGTCCCCAGCCTGGAGGGAAGTCTCCTTTTGCTTTCCTGAAGGGAACACAAACCCCGGAACTGCAGGCCCCTCAGTTCCTTCAGGGACAACTCTGGGCTTCTTGCTGGCAACTGGAGGTGCTTTGCGTTCACCTCGTGTGTCCTTGGGCATAGGGCTCTCTTCAGAAAGATGGATATGTTTGCAAATTATGGGGAACTGATCTCCAAAAGGATCCCCAAACTCTGAAGGCTTCCCTGACCCAGGAGAGACTGGGCTTTGGGAAGTGTCCTTCACAGCTGCCAGAACATCAATGTGACCAGAGGAGGCTGGCAGCGGGATGATTGCCTCCCTGTCCTCTGCCATGGGTTCTACAGCCTGAGCGGAAACTGTCCTCTTCTCGTTGGGCAGAAAGTTGCTTTGGTCTCGCCTGACTGGTTTCCTAACATGAGGAGGAATGGTCCTCAGAAGGGCACAGGCCTGGGCATCTAGGTGCACCCCTCCTCCTCCACCAGGGGGGTGCTTCTGTCTTGCTGGGGGACTTCTCTCAGTCTCTTCCATCCGGTCTATACTCATGGGGGCCTCTTCATCTTCAGCTGCCCTGGCCATTGGGTAGGTCAGCTCTCCTTCCAGCCTTGCTCTTTCCCAGGCCTCTGCAAAAATCTGCCCCACAACAGCTTCCTGTAGGTCACCAGGCCTCCCACGGTCCCTGGAGGACCAGCTTTCTTCCTCGGAGGAAGTCATATGGGCTTCATCTTTATTCCAGCTGGAACCTGGGGCAGAACCCCTTGGGGCTGAGGATTTCAGCTCCCAGTGCTCCGTGTGCTCGCCTGCCAGCTCCAACCAGGTCCCATCTCCAGGAGGGGCATGCAGGTGCTCTTCTCTGTCCTCTGAGGGTAGAGGGAGAACTTCTTCAGCGTCTTTCTCTCCATAGTTTAGGTAGAAGCTCCTCTCTGCGAAGGAGGTATCAGTTTCATCGCTGGAGTCGGCTCTGGCTTCTGCCTGGGCTGGATCTAACAGGAAAGACTGGAGTCCTTTGTCTGATGCAGGAGAAAGAACTTCTGCCTGCAGTGGCCCAGTTCCTGGAGCTGTAGGTCTTCCCCAAGTCTGGAGCCCCTCCAGCCCCTTAGTAGGCTCTGCTGGGCTCTCTAGCTGACCATCTGAGACGCGGTGGCTCCTGATCTTGGGCTTGGAGCCCTCAGGAAGCTTGTCTGCTGATGCGTAGCCTGCAGCTCGAGCGGTCTCTCGGGTACCTCCCTTGACACATGGGCCTTCCTCTCTCATTGTCTCAAACTCTCCTGGACTTGCAATCATCTTCCCTTGCTGATGAGTACTTGCTCTTCCGACTCCCACTGTTTCTTCTGTGGCCACTTCAACTTTGAACTTGTCCACCAGAATGTCTACCTTGGAGAGTCTGCCATCAGCAAGGATCTCAGCGAGGCCTGCCTCACTTCCTTCCCGTTGTGTGGTGGCCATTGTTAGGAGGCCAAGTTCTTCTGGCCTAGTGTATACTCTTTCTATAAATACCCAGTGCTCTGAGCCCTGTGTTGCAATTGGAGCAAGAAGAGTTAGCATGAAACAGCGGGCACTGGAAGGGATGGCCTCTTCCCTCTATAAGAAGGGACCAATCTGCCACCAAAGGGTTTGCCACTGGGACTGTGTTCTAGGAATTGGCCAGGGGCAGAACGGGGTGACAAAGCTATTCATCATGATCAAAGTTCTTTTTCCCAGTAAGATTCCCCAATAAACTGACGGACCTTCTTCAATAACTGGTTTCATCCTGATACAGTGAGGTGGGGTCTTGTGCCTCTCATCCCAGGAACAACAGTAAAGGGAGCTCTATGGGTGGAACCGGCCTCTTCCTCTTGGAACTGAACATTTCCCACTGTTGCGGGGAAGGCACTTACAAGGGATCTTTGGATATTGAGCCAAAAGAGCTCCAAAGACATCCAGTGTCACCTCCCTTGGGGGGGGGGGGGGGGGGCTGAAGTCTAGAGAAGGAAAATGACTTGGTTGCGGCCATTGTTTGCTGATGGCAAAGCCAGAAAAGAACAGCTGCATTTTGCATTTTGATGCCTGAACCCTTAACTCACAACCTTGAACATGGGTGCCAACTGGGATCTGATGCCAAGCTGAGGAAAACAGTGAACCGTATTTCACAGGCCCCAGCCTAAAACATGACCCCTCGACAGGGGCTTCTGGGAAGGAAACAGATCCACAGCAATGATACCAAACAGTCAGCTTAGCACCATTGAAGCAATGGCTAAAACAGTCTGAATGTTCTGGGGTTCCACTTAAATGATTTTAAGACCGATGCTTGGAGAATGCTAACAAAAACCCATGGAAAGAATAGAGAAGAACTAACCAGATCGTACCACAGAAGAAAAGACCACAGAGGACACCAGCACAAAGCCAGGGGGATTATCAAGTTTGTCACTATCAAACTTCCCAGAATGGTCTTCTACCTGTCCCTAGCAGCTCAGAGGTACTGATGGGTTTCTCAAATCATTAGCAAAGCAGTAAAAGCATTGGAATTTTAGTCTTGGGATCACAGAATACTTTCTCCCCACAAAATCTCACCAGAAGTCCATCTGACAAATGCAAAATGCAAAAACACTGGGCAGCCCTGTGGAGGTTGCAGTCCTGCATGGGCTTAAGATCACAGACTTAAGATACCTCCTTCCTCTGAAGTCACAATAAGGCAGACATGGAAGTCAACTTCCAAATCTAGGCCTAGGGAAGGAAAGCCACTCGAGCGCCGAGTCACGGAGCCTAGAACCCAACACTTGATTCTAAGTTTTTAAAGTTTTGCCTCCACAGGAGGTGTGCCTGACACTCCTCCCAGGAGCAGGAGACCAGAGGCTTACATGATCTTGGGCTCCTTTTCAGGGTGTGACTTGGTGCTGAGTCTGCCACACCCATAAAATCTGAAGGAGCTGGAAGGATCAAAGGAACACTGCGAATCCTATTCCCAGGTCAGGGAATCTGAGCTCATTGATAGAATCTTACCAGGGGAAAGAGATCAAAGGAAGAGAGGTCTATACATGATCTGGCATAGCTTTCTGAGATGTTTCAGGTGTCTGTGCCTGAACTCTCAGAGGGAGGTGTTCTGCTGGCCTGCAGAGGTAAGGACCCTTCTCATCTCCTTGGGAAGCAAGTTCTGCCTGCTGCTTCCATTTCAGCTCTTAACATCATCAGCCTAGTGATGAAGGTCAAAGTTGGCCAAATAGGCCCCTCCTGGAATATTCCCACTCCAATCCCATCTAGCAAATAGGCTAGATGAGCAATGGTGTGTGGGGGAGGAAGCTGGCGCCAACTGGAAAGATTCTAGAGGCAGAGAAGGGAAACACATGGCAATGTTTAGTTATTAGATGCCAGGCAGCACCAACCCTCATCTACATAATTAAATTTACTCCAATTGGCAACTTTGTTTCAGAAGGGGAAAGCAAGGCTCCCATTGAGGGCATTTGCAGATCACAGTCGTGGTGAGGGAAGAAACAAGGGTTCTTCTGCTAAAAAACAACAGTTAAGGATATGGGGTAGGGGCAGGATTTACAAAAGGACAACTTTGCTGGCACCAGTGTGCTGGTAAAGCCACATCTGGCCCTCATCACAAGATGGGGCAATGCTAAGTGCCCTCCTTAGAGTACCTCCTGCTACCTGACGGCACTGCCTCTGCTCCAGCCACAAGAGCAGGACAAGGGGATAGCGCTGCTTCATGCCAGACAAGAAGAAACTCCAGAGGGTGGCTCCCCTGACTCTTGGCTGTTCAGGCCCTACCTGGAACTCTGGATTACATTTTGGGTCAGAGGATGTCCAGGAAGGGGGCTTTCTTGAATTCACATCCTGGGAGAAGCTGTTGGGAGGGGTGCAGAAGGAAGGTGCTCAATCTGAAGGGTGTCCCTCAGGGAGGCTGCAGAGTGGGTCCATGGCCACCAGGAGGCAAGAGGACGCTCACAGGCAACTGATCCAAAGGGCAGACTTTGGTCAACCTGAATAAAACTTCATGCCCAGCACTTGGGGGACCAAAGCAGGAGGACCACAAACTTGAGTCCAGTCAGGGTAACACGGACAGGCCTCGTAGAAAGAAGAATAAGATAGAGGAGAATAGACAAAACAGGCTGCTCTTAAGGGCAGCAAGATGGATGCCACTGATGAAAGGTGCACATCTTGGCTCACTCCCCAAACAGGCATCGTCCTTGTTTCTAAGAGTACTCCAGACACTAGGACATCACCACGTCCCTAACTCTGGGATGCTCTGGACTCCTGTCTCACTGCCTTTGAGAGAGAACACTGATAGGTTTGCTTTCAGTTTTCCATGGGGGAAGACTTCCGGGAGAGCTTTGGTGTGTATTTTCCTCACGTGGCACTTGCTCATGCCCCTCTGACAGTCACGACACTCACAGCAGCTACACAAGTATTCTATGCAGAAGGGGAAGGGTCCATACCATTGCAAGTCACACCAACAGACGGAGCAGAGGCTACATGAAGGATGTTTCTCAAGTCAGTAGGTTCCCAGCTCAACAGACTATGTAATCCCAGTGTGCAGGTGGGATGGGATATGGGGAGTCCATCCCCAGTATTCACACAGAGCCACAGGAAACCCCAAGAACCCTTTACCTGATGCTCCTCTGGACCCAGAAACAAAGCACTCCTCACTTAGAAGGATGTTTGGGGGAGGAAGGTATCTATTTCTGCCTGACTGGAGACTCAGACCAATGTCTCAGATGGGGTTAGGTAGCTGGAAACAGGGGAAGGATTAATACTATGCCCTAATGAGCCACCCATAGACTACAGTAGGCTTCTAAATAGAACCAAGACCTCAGGGCAGGACACACTCAAGCCTAGGGTTAGAGCCTGCCTCCCGAGAGGTTCATATCTTTGTCCCCTTTGAGACAGAGGCGACAAGTTCTGTTTTCTGGGTATAGCTATCTATGATCCTGCCCTTCCTGGTAGGCAACAGATGACGGAGGGACTGACCCTTCATGGATCCCTGGGACGAGGAGATGACATTTATAACACGGGACAACATGGGTCACCCCTGCTCTCTTCTCCATGGCAGAGTCTGGCCTATTCCCCTCACCCTAGGGAAAGGGTTTTCTTAAGATCCCGGAGGGTGGACAGGGATGGGCTGGAGGCCTGGGAGGAAAGGGTGTGGGGAAGTGAAGACAGTAACCTCAGGAGATGCTGCGAGGCTTTTCTGAGTGAACACTTCCAAGCCTGCTGCTGTTCCAGGTACCAAGTCCTGCTGAGAAGAGTCCTGGGTCCTCTGGGCCTGCAGGGGAGGCCCAGGGCCGGAGGAGAGGGAGAGATGGGAGGAAGGAAAAGAGAGAAAGAGCAGGAGAGAAGAGACACACAGAGTCTGTAAATAGTCAGCTTTGGAGGCCCCACATTGTTTTGTTACTTCACAGATTCAGTGAGGAAGGAGCCACTCTGAGGGAGGAGACAGGGAGGGACAGTTGTGGCTGGCTATGAGGCAGTCCTGTGGCCTTCGGCCAGTCTCTCGTGCCCACTAACACTCAAGAGTCTGGAATCCTACCATTTAGACTCTGACTTCAAGTCAGCCCGAGGTGTCATGGCTTAGACTATGGTTTGACCCTGTAGCTGGGGTCACAGTCGTATCTTGTGAGAGGCTTAGGAGATGCCACAACTAGTAAAGTTCTTATACAGGCATGAGGATTTGGGATCAGATCCCCAACACCTGTGAAAAAAGCCAGGTATTGCAGCACACGTATGTAATCCCAACTTAGGGGAGGTGGAGACAGGCAGTGAATGGCTTTGTCTCAAAAAATAAAGTGGCACTCAGTGGGTGAAAATGCCCACTGTCAAGCCTGAAAACCTACGTTCAATCCCCAGGACCCGCATGGAGGAAGGACAGACTCTCAAAAGTTGTCCTCTGACCTCCATACACACAACACACAGACACATACACAAACGCACACACATATATTGCATACATACACATTGCATACACAGATATATACACAGAGACACATATACACAAATAAATGAAAATATAATAAAAAAAGAAAGAATGACTGAGGAAGATACTCAGTGCCAATCTCTGGCCTCCACATGAATGCACACACACATACATGTGTACTTCACATGTGCATACACCCACACGAACACATATACACCTACACCACCCACACAGAATTGTCTTTCAAACTAAAACCTAGGCTGGCCCAATGGGAATTGCTCAAGTTCCTGCTGCTTTCCCCTTGGCTTGGGTGGGGCACACACGCTTTGAGATGGCTTTGGAGTTCTGGGCGGTGTGTCCCTACAGGGTCCTCCATAGAGCCATTAGGCCAGGGATTCTAGTCACCTTCAGCAGTGGCCCCACAACCATTAACACTTCCTAGGGGACAATGAGCTTCCATCTTTGCTGTTCCAGTTAGGTTTGTCAATGGAATGACATTCTGGTCCCCTTTCAGATGGCCTATGCAAAACGGTTCACAGAGGTGACACCACTCACCCAAGGACAGAGTCAAGCCCTTGTCTATGGCTCCTCCCAATTTTGCCAATCTTCAAGAACCCATAAATGCCAAGGGGCATAAAAGAAAATTATAAATGGTTCATAACTCCAACGTACTTGGCAGGAGTGGTGACTGTGGTTTTCAGGGCTAAGGAGGTGGTGGCGGGAACAGCCTCCATCTAATAAGGTCCCTCTGCTAGCAGCCGCAGTTGTCACCAGCAGGTGGGGCACAACTCCAATTCCAGGTCCTAGCTCACCAGCATTCATCTACCACTCCTTTCTCTGGTGACATCTCACCTTTCGGGTGGTTTCTATTATCACACTTCAACTGGACCCAGGCCAAAACCTGGCCATCTCAGGACTGTTAGAAGTCACTCTGGCCAAGTCTCTCCCTAGGGAATGAGGGGTCAAGAGGAAAGTACTGCGGACCAGCTCACTACATCACAGCCATCCATGGCCCAGTCTAAGGGTTTGGCTGTGCTGGGACCACAGAAGCCCTCAGAGGCCTGCCCAACCTCCAGCCTAGGGGCTGTGTGCACGCCGGGTAACTACAACAGCTGATACAGACATGTGTAGACGACAGTGTCGTGTCACAATGTTTAAGTGTGCCCCTCTGCTAGCAGGTGCAGAGATTTGTCTTCTTTCTAGGATACCGGCCTTCAAGGCCCCCAAAGCATTCCTAACTGCGGGACTTTGGCAGCTATGGAATTCCAGCTGTGTCCAGAGTTTATACCTCACAAAGGAAACCCTCTGCTATTTGGTGGGCTCAGACTATGGTGAGGACCAGTTCGATCAACACTCTACGGGTTCAATCATGGCTGCATCGCCAACATCCTACGCACTAGAGAGAAAGCACATACACTACCGACTATATCTGGTCTGCGTGTGATTTGGTCTTCCCTCAAGCAGGCTGTGAATTACCAGCAAACACAATGCTGTGGCCACAACAAGCACAGCCATCACGCTGAGTCATTCTTTGTCTCTCTGGGCCTCAGTAACACGAGGTCTTAGAACAGAAAGGGTTCCTAGCATCCTTCCAGCTTTGATTTAGAGATCTGCAAGGGTGAGTCCTGGGACTCTATAAGGAACGCCACGTAGCTCCTACCAGACAGCATGGTGGTCGTGTGCTCCCTCTCCAGGCATTATCTCAGCTGACCCTTATAACATCGCTGTAAACATCTCCACCTAACAGGGCCTCAGGGAGATGAGGCAACAAGCCCAGAGTCCTCCAGTTCCCAGGTAATGGAACCAGGAGACTAAGTTTAGACCACAATCCATTAAGACCACTAAGCGGCAGCTCAGGAGAGAAGACACCTACACTGAAATCGGGGTAAATTCTGCCAAGATTCAGAAATTGCTAAAAATAATTGGAGCTTGGGAGTACAAATACAGGATTTTCCCAAATCATATCTTTTTCAGCTGAGAAAATACCCTAAGAGCATTTCCACCCTGGAGGGCAGGACACAAGGGGCCCTTTTGGGAAAGCCTCGGGAGTAGTCTGGTTGGATAGAGGATTGACTGCTTTGATGAAGTGAGAATCCTCCCAGCAAGGACCACAATCTCCGTACGGTCAGATGCTCCAAAGGAGCTGGCTCCTGGAATCTTAAAGTTGAGTAGGAAAGAGACTTGCCTAGGACACTGTTTAAAAGGCTGGGCCCAGGGCTCTCCTGCTTCAGCGGGTCCCTCATGGGGTCTCAGAACCTGTCTTTCTAATAAGCACGCTTTCCCTCTTTTTCTTTGCTTGACTGAGGGGAATACACCAAGCTACCAGGAGTTTTTAAAGTTTTCTAAGATGGTCCCTAGGATCCAGTGGTTAGTGGATTTGACCCTCTCAACCTAACCTGCCTCCCCATCCCACCAGCCTAAGGCAGCAACAGGCACAGATTTGTTTGGAGGATGAAGGTAAATACAGTCTTAACCCCGTACCCCTACCCTGTGCCTTTTAATACAACGTTCAGGCTTCAGCAGGAGACCTACCTCACTGGCTTTCTCAGGGGTGCCCTTTGGGGAGGGGGAGGCGGGCGACGAGGGCAGCCTGCGCTCCCGCTCCCAATCTCGATCCCGGTGGATCAGTTTGCTGTTGGGCTCCTTCAGGGTCCTCTTGAGCTCATTGATGCTGGCCTGGTGCTTCAACAGGACATCCTCTGGCTTGTCCAAGAACTAGACATGGGGGGGAGAGGTATAAGATGAACGGCGCTGAGCAGGCAAAGACAGCACGGGAGAAACAGCACCTCTGCCCTCCACCATCCCAGCCCGACGCTGTCATCCTTATAATAACCCAAGGAGCCAAGGTAGCAAGGACGATGAACTCCAAGATATGCACTAACCAGGGGCAGGGGTATGCGGGTGACAAAGAGGACAGGCTAATGAAGTCACCCCTCTTCTCCCCTGCATTACCCCAGAACATTCAACTCCACTCAACCCTCCAGTCTGGGTGAGTTCTCATTGTGTTCTGAGCCAAGATGGAGTCAGACACACAGATGACTTTCCTGTTTATGATCCAGGCACAGCAGGCTGCATGTACCAAGGTGAGAAGTCCCTGGTGTGTTCACTGAGCTGCACAGGCTCTCTGGCTGGATTCCCAGAACCCTCTGAATCCTGGCTCCTACCGCTCCTCAAGACTTGGACCACTGTACTTAATAGTATGTTCAGTCTGGGCTATTCTGAGGCCCCATCCAACTGCTCAGGCCCCGTGGAAGCCTGGGTTAAAGATATGACTAAGCTGGCTTGTCCAGAAAAATGAGACCTGTTCCCTTACTCGGGGCCAGGAAAAGACTAGGCAGCTTTCTCTGCCATAGGCCACTGCTTTCTCCATCACAGAACCTCCCAGATGCCATCCGCCTCGACTCTCTAAAAGTAGACAGTCATATGCTGTCAGGGAGACCAGGATGCTGGGTGGGGGGAAGTGAAGTTGGTGTGGGGTGAGAAATTAGAGATGAGGGAGAGGAGATGAGTTTTGAGGCCTGGCACAAGAATGGGTCAGGCAGAGCTGGAGTCCCAGGTGTGCCCCTTGTTAATCTATGACACCTGAGTCCATGCCAGTGTTACAGATGGAGCGGTCTGCTTGGGCCCAGTGAGGATGAGCCATAGAGAACTCTCAAGGTTGGTCTTCTGCCTGCTTCTGGGAGAGAAAGAGTGGGCTGGCAGCCTAAAGACTTGCTGCAAGGCTAGAGGACCATCAGGAAGACAAGCTTGCCCTAGACAGGGCTAGACTCTTCCTCTAGGCTCGTCTCTGGCATCTAAGAATCACTGTAGTTGCTCCCAAAACTTCTCAGGAAGAAAGCCAATCCCACAGAGGCTTCTGCTTTCTCCCCAGACACCTGATGGGCCTCAGGCTAAGCTGACCATAGCCTGTGTCTGTCTAAGAGGCCAAGTGGGTTTGCACAGGGGTAAGACCATGTGTCAGTGGTGAGTGGGTCAACCTGGGATGATCCCAATGGGTCTGCTGTGCTCCCAGAAGCTGGAGAGAGGTTGGGTCCTGGGATCCCTAGAGGTCAAAGGCCTTGAAGAAACCAAGGGGTGAGTGTCAAGGCCTGACACAAGAACAAGGCAGGTATAGCTGGAGTCACAGGTAGTGTGCATGCCCTGTGGTGCAGGTGGGATCAGGGCCCAAAGAGTCTTTCTAAGACCCAAGTCCAGATCTCAGGATGCCATGGCTGACTCTGACTGTGGCCTGCTCTCAGCAGCCCAAGATCAAACAGCATCCCCAGAGAGACCTGGATACTGTGAGAGGAATGAAGTGGGGGCAAGAGGCAGACGTTGATACAATCAGTGAATGGAAGATGACAGAAGAGAAGGAGAGGAGGTGTCCAGGGACAGGAGGGCAGGGGGACTGGAGTCTGAGCAGATGCAGATGTGACCTGAGATTCCTCCTTCCCCACCCACCCCACCCTCACTCACATCTGGTTGTTAAGAGATGCAAAGAACACAGCTGAGATGGAGGTGAGGTCAAACAGGGCTCTTGGGGAAGGGTAGGGTGAGTGGAATGAGGAGCTACATGGAAGCACACATGTGGGCCGGGGTTATGGGGGGAGGTAAGCATAGGTCACCAGGTCCAGCGAAGAGTGACACTGGGTGGAGGGGCAGGGCACATGGATGAGACCAGAATCTGACCTGGGAGCTGAAGGCATGAGCTTAATGGGGAGGGCTGTGACCAGAGAGGAAGGACATGGAGGAGAGGTGTGGAAGCTGGTCAGAATGAAGCTGAAGCTGAGGTGGTGCCAGGGACATGAGCTGGGGACCAAGTGACACGGTGGTAAATGAACTAGGGATCTAAATGGCTATCAAGGGAGGGATGGGTCCATGCAGTACCTCCTGCTTGTGTCTTGGCGTGGTTTCCTGCTCCGGCTGGTAGGATAAGGCAGGAGGGAAAGGAACCAGCAAGGTCAGTAGAATAAACAGATTAGCCTGGTCCAGCAGCTCACACCCAATCCCACCACACAGTGCAGGCCAGGAAAGCGGCTAAGGTAACGAGGTAGTCAGAGGAAGGTGTGATAGGAAGCAGGTGGATATCCCAGGAAGGCAAAGGAGGGGCCAGGGGACTAGAGTCCAAGTGGGTAGAGCCATATTCACAGGCTGGTGTGTGTCCAGGGTTTCCTGCTGCTTGTAACAGTGAGGATGTGATTAGGGGGCCTGAGTTCACACTGCAGGTCTGCATGGCAGACAAGGACTGCTCAGCGATCCCAAGGAAGGCACGCCTGGCCGGTGTATGGCCAAGCCTGTGCACGGGAACATGCTATCATCGTGTCTGTGCATGAGTCTAAGGTGGGGGTGCGGAGGTGTGAAAGTGAATGCTACATGTGAGGCTGGGCTGTGTGTGCCTGTAGGAGCGTGTACATATACATACTGGGGGTACGGATGTTCACGGGGGGGGGGGGAGAAGGCTGCAGGAAAGAACACACACTTCACACCGAGGCCTTTGGTGACCTGGCCATGCACAGGGAAGAGAAGAGACACGGAGCCAGACCACAATTAAAGGGGATACAAGGAGGAAGTAAGGCGGGTGTGTGTGTGTGTGTGTGTGTGTGTGTGTGTGTGTGTGTAAGTTTCCCAGGAAACTTCCCTGCGACCCAGGGAAGCTGGTCCAAAAGGGGACAGCACGCCCACTTCCAACCCCAACCCTACTCTGCATGTCCAGGTGTGGAGTACGGCCCAGGGCCAAGCTCCCGTCCATGCTGTGCCCCATAGCAAGGTGCTTGGATACAATTAGGACACTGAGGGTCAAGGCTAAGTCTAGGCCTCAGCCCACTATCCACGCCCCCTGGGAGCAGGATACAGGGCAACCCAGTGGGCTCCTACCTTCAGCTCCTTGATCTTGGTGGGGGTCCTGACCTCTCCTTCTTCGGCCTCTGATCGCCGTCCCCCTGACTCAGCATCATCTTCCCGCTTGTCACCGTCAGGCCCCACGTCGTGATTCTCACTGACTGAGGCGGGGCGGGAGAACTCCGCTAAAGTGGGCAGATGTGGCCGAGTGACTGTGTGAGGCAGTCTCCCCATGCCAGCCACTGCCCACTCTTCTCCACTGCAACTCCTGCTCACCCTGGCCCACGACTGGAGAGTCACAAAGCTGCATCCCACCCAGCCTTGGGCTCCTTCCTACAGCACCAGAGTCTCAACTCCAACCCTTCCTGGCTGGGTGACAGTGGAAAAGTCACACGATCCCTCTGGGCCTCCGTTTCCTCGTCATTAAATGGTATCTATGCCAGAAAGATGAGGTAAGGACCCAGTACTTTGGAGAGTGTCTTGCCCAGAGTGAGCCTTCCATCCATGCTGGCCCAGCAAACATTGCTGTTTGGGTTGTGGTCCTTAGGCAGCTCCCAGTATATCACTATCTAGCAAAGCTCAGAGATCCCCAGACAAGCAACAGCAGAAGCTTACAAATGGTTTGCTTTCTCTGTGAATTGATAAGAATTCAAAGAGATTCCTGCAATGTTCATCTCTCTTGCTGCAATTCTTAAATATTTTTCTGAACAGAAAGGGGGGGCGTGGTTTACAGACTGCACCAGGTCCTGGGTACAATGCAAAACGTTGCAGACTGAGCCTTAGTAATAAAAAGGCTACGAAACCCCGTCATGACGACAACCGGAACAGACAATTACCCTTCAGGTTGGCAGCCATTAAAAAGATATGCCAACTTGCCTTTCCTTTTAGGGCTATTTCCTCTGCAAAGTGCCCATTGGTGCACACCGCCTGGCTTGACCTACATTGTTCTGTGTTGTGGGCTAGCCTGGGAATTACATTTGACAGAGTATAACTGGAGGCTTCAAGAAGAGAAGGTCCCACAGGTGTCCTTTCAGGATGTCAATACATGAAACCCGCCCTCTAGGGTTAGAGTCCAGGCTTCTGCTCTCCCACCAAGTCCCCAGCTCCGGCTAGCCTTTGTCACCATCTCTCCTCCAGTCTAGGTTTCATTAGCTCTGCTGTGAGAATGGCACCTGTAGGAAGGGCCAGGACCAGACCAGGCCCTCTTTCCTTCGTGTAAACCACACGATGTTTCTCTGTTGACAGAATGTCAACCTGTGCACTGCTGAGCTTCTTGGGCAAAAGCCCAGAAAATTAGATGGCAGAGCCTGGGACCCCACAAGGTCACAACCCAAAGAAGTACTGGAGTATACGTCACATCCCAGTGAGACGGAGCTGACCCGGCACTGCCCAGGAGCAGCGGAGCTTGTAGGACGACCATGTCTGGTGCAAATGGCCTTGGGAGTATCTACTGCAGCCACCACATTTGTTCTGCAGACCCTGCATTGTTCTCCCACCTGGCTTCCCCTGACAACCACTCTTATCCCAGCTCCAGTCTGGGCCATACCTCCATCAAGGCTGCGGGACATAGTATATCGCTTGCTGGAGGAACGCTCAAAGAAGGGTGCAGGCCGGTCGATGAGGGCACTGGCTTGGCGGGTCTGTGCCTGGGTCCTCCCACTGTACCGGAACTTGGAGCCCATCACCAGAAAGCCCTTGGGTGGGGGCTCTGGGGACACCAGCCTAGAACAGAGAGTGGTGGAGATGACAGATAGGGGTCAGGACTGCGTTACCAGGCCCAAAGTCAGACCCCAGCAGGCTTTTCACTCCAGTGTCCCACCATCTACAACACTTCACAGTCCAGAAAGGGGAGACTTGGGGAAAGGTAGGCTTGCTGTGCTAACTGCTCTTCCTGCTCCTTGAACCCTCACAGCCTCTCTCATCCCTCTCAGAGCACCCAGGGGCGACTCACCGGAAGAATGTGTGGTGCTCAATGCAGACCTTCCAGAGCCGCTTGGCTGAGCGGTGGTTGGGGAGCTTGAAGCCAATGGTGCTCTCAAACTGCTCATACTGGGAAGCCAAGAAGAGGGGGCTAGAGGTGAAGCCTGGGCCATACTCGCCACCAGCCCAGCCCGCCTACTCACTCTCTCCTCACACAGCCATAACTTTAGCCTGTTCATGCATGTAAACCAGGTGGACTGAGCCCTTTGCTATGACAGGTCCAGTGCTAAGCACTGGAGACACGGGAGGGATCAACACACAGATTCTAGGGAATAAGAGGTCTCAAAATAATTCAGTAGGACGGGGGAGATGGCTCAATGGGGAAGTGTCTGCCTCACAAGCATGAGGACCTGAGTTCAAATCCCTAGAGCTTACATGAAAGGCCAGATGGTGTGGCAGGTCATCTTAATTGCAGCCCTAGAAGGATGGAGGACCCCAAAGCAGTCTGGCTAGCTAGACTAGACATACTGGTCAGCTCTGACTTTGTCTGAGAGGCCCTGCCTGCCTCACTGAATAAGGCAGAAAAATGGTTGAGGATGAGAGAGAGATTTCCAACATCAAGCTCACACCTATACTCATGTATACTCATGTACAGATCACACACACACACACACACACACACACACACACACACACACGTACAACCACATACATACACTCAAGTACACACCACACACATTCATGTACATATCACACACACTCACTCAGGTACACACCCATTCATGCATTCATATATACACTATATCCTACACATACACACTCATGTACATATCGCACACATTCATATACATACCATACACACACTGATATTACATACCATGCATACATGTACAAACACACACATACACATACACACTATGTACACACCAAATAAACACGCATATATCATCACACACCATATAAGCATGTACATACTACACCATATACACACACTCGTGTACAACTACATAAACACTAACATACATACCATATACTATATACACACTCATGTACACATGACATATACATTGATACACACACTCAAGTACACACCACACTCAGTACACCCACACACACTCATGTACACACCACTTATACACTCATATACAACCACATACACTCATGAATACAGACACACACTCATATGCAACATATGCACACGCACACGTGGAAAAAAGAACAAAATAAAATAAATAAGACCATTGCAGATACAGATAAGAGCTGACAGGGATGAAGGATCTGCTGGGCAGGCCTGGGTGGAACTGTCAGAGAAAACACTGCCCCCATATGCATGAGTTTTGGGCTGAGACTGGAAGGACAGGGTTGTGCTATAGTTGGGATCCACAATGTCCCCAAAGGTGAAGGTGTTAAACACTTCATCTCCAGTGTGGTGCATTTGGAAGGTAATGGAAGCCTTTAAAAAGTAGGGCCTTCTGGGAGTTTTTAGGACACTGGTGTGTATCCTCAAATGCTGGCGTCTTTGTACTCTTTGTTACTCTATGCCTTGAACACTGCATGGCCACTCAGCCCCTTCATGCCCTCCTGCCTCAATGTGCCGCCTCTCCATGAGTCCAAAGCCACAGGGCTAATCAACATGGACTAAGCCTCCCAAACTGTGAGCCAAAGCAAGCCTTTTCCTGCTACAGCAGATTGTATCAGGTGTTTACTCCAGTGACAGAGGCTGGTGTGTGTGCAGGAGAGGCCAGCAATTGGTAGGAGAAAGAGGCAGGGAGGTCAATCAAAGGGACCGTGTAGACGTGACAGATAGTGGCTGCTGTGGCTGGCACAGTGGTGAGGAGGGCCAGGTGGGTCATGGAGGTGTGTGCCTCTGTGCACACATCATGTGATATCATGAGCTTGTGCGTGTCTTGGTATAAAGACACAGTGGACTCCTGCACATGGGCAAATTCGTGCGTGCAGATATATATTGACTTTTTGGTGTAGCCTGAATCCATGTGGTTGTCATTTTATTTTTGACTATGAAGTATATGTCTGAGTATACATGTTTACATGCTTACATACAGACATGTTGCTTGAAAGCATACATCCAGGGCCTGTAAAATGGCTCAGCAGATAACCTGAATTTTATCCCCAGGGCCAATATGGTGGAATGAGGAAACTGACTACAGCAAAATATCCACAGAACCTGACCTCTAGCTTCCACGTGTGCACCACAGCACATATGCAAGGTATGTGTATGTGTGCACATACACACAAACTAATAAAATAAACAATATGTAAAGCCACATGTCCAGGGTGTATAGTCTACGTAGAGAGGCAGGGAGGAGGGAGATCCACCTTCCATGAACCCCAGAGCCTGTTCATGTTTCCTGGGTAGGAAAAACCCAGGCCAGTTGCTGGGGTCTGCTCTATTAGGTTCAGTCAACCTCCCAGTAGTGTGGGGGGTGGTCGTTTGAATGTAATTGGCACCCATAATCTCATAGGTAGTGGCACTATTAGGAAGTGTGGCTTTGTTGGAATGGGTAAGGCCCTGTTGGAGGGGTGGGCTTTGAGGTTTTCAATGCCCAGGATAACACCAAGTGCATCAGTCAGCTTCCTGTGGTCTGCATATCCAGATATAGCCAGCACTATGTCTGCCTGCATACCCCCATGCTTTCCACCATGATAATGCACTGAACCTCTGAAACTGTAAGTTGCTACAACAATTAAATGTTTTCCTTGCAAGAGTTGCCATGGTCATGGTGTCTCTTCACAGCAATAGAAACCCTAACTAAAGAGTGGGGGCGCACGCCTTTAATCCCAGAAGTTGAGAGGTAGAGGCAGGCAGATCTCTGTGAGTTCAAGGCCAGCCTGGTCAACAAGAGCTAGTTCCAGGACAGCCAGGACTGTTACACAGAGAAACCCTGTCTTGAAAAATTAAAAAAAAACAAAAACAAACAAACAAAAAAGAAAGCCTAACTCAGACAGGGAGGTGAGTGAAAAGAGTCTGGAGCTGGATTCACCTCCCCAGGCCGGATCTTGATGTAGAAGTTACTCCTCTTGTAGGAGATCTTGAGAATCTTGGGCCAGGCAAAGCGGTTGATTCTCAGGCGGTCCCGGTAGATGAGCAGGCCGTTGGCACAGACACCTAGCATGATATCGATGCCCTCAGAGTCCTGCGCAAGGAGAGAGCACAGAATGGGAACTGGGAGCCAGGCAGGGGCAGCCCTGCCACCACTCTGCTCCACTTGTAACAAGCTCCGGGGGGCAGGTTGGAGTTCCTCGACTAAGATCCCCACAAGCATCTGGACAGTCGCCTCCCACTTAGCCACCGATTCATCACTCACTTTTTCGGGCACTTGCTCTGTCAATCACTCAGTCACTCAACAAACACTTAGAAACATATGCATGGCAGGCCATGTGCCACACACCACTGTGACAGAAACAAGCTAAGGCCTCTGTCTGTCTCTCACATGCACCCAAGCAAGTGCGGCACAAACTACTAGGTTTGTGAGGAAACTGAATCCAAGGGGGAGATGATAAAGGTCAGAGAGAATAAAAGGTTATTAACTTTGAGAAAGAACCCCAAAGGTTTCAAGTTGGAGGCAAAACAGTCCAGACACTAGCTCTGGAGGGGCTATAGTTCCCGAGGAACAACCTAAGATGAGGCCTTGCTGGGACTCAGTGGTACCTTAGCGTGGTGCAAATCAACCCCATACATGGAAAGCTTCTTGGCGTTCTCCAGGAAGTGGATCTCTGCCTCTCCCGGGGTCATGCCCCTGAGGAAAGAAAGGATGGTTGTGGGATGTGGCAAAGGCCCAGGCTGAGTCCAGCCGGCTGTAGGTATCACCACCAGAACTGGCCATGACGGAAAGGTAGGCCTGAGGCCCTCTCCTCTGCCCTCAGGACAGGACTGAGAGCCCCTTTACTTCAGTCCACCAAGCCCGTCTTCTGTCACACTCAGGTCATCTTCTGTCTTGTTTTGTCCAGGCAGCAGACAAGGACTAGCCTGGGAGTTAGGATTTTTGTCTCAGTTCCCACCAATTAAGGAGATGGCAGGCATGACATCCTCCTCCTATGTTTGGTGGCCATGACTACTTGTCTCCTCCCTAGCGTGACTCCACGGCAGCCAGTTCAAACCCAGCAATGTTGATGTGCAAATCTCCACCAGTATTTATTTGCCATCTCTGGCCCGGCATTCCTCACACCTAGCAGGCTCAGCCCCGTATATGAACTCATCACATGTGGCCACAATCCTCCTCTCTAGGTCCAGTGCACCGCACACAACCCTTCCCACTCCATGCACAGGAATGAGATAATGTTGCTGGAGTCCTTCCTGCAGGTGCAGCACCATATCCTCAGAATGTACTTTCACATCAGGTTCCCATAACAACCTTGAGCTTGAACCGCAGCACTTTCGGCTGCAAAGGCCCTGCAAATCATTTTGATCCAGGGGTAGGTAGTGTTCTCTGCAGAGCAGGCACTGAGGAATGGCACTGGACTGTATTCCCATGGCTGCAATGGCTTAGGGGTGCTATGGGTATTCAATATCCGCAGCCCAAGGAAGCATAAGATCCTGTGTGATGAATTCTGCCACCCCAAGTACCAGCGTCTGGGCAACACTCGTCATCTCAGCCTGTGTATTTATAGGTGAAAACGGGGCTTACAGAGGTTCAGCAACTAGCCCACAATCACACATCTGGCCAATTATCTCCTAACTCCAGAACAAAGTATTCAATCAACAACTCAACAAATATGCAATCAACAGCTCAACAAAGTACGCAATCAACAACACAAATGCTCCAATTGATGGATAGCAATACTCAGCCCACATGTGACGTGGCTTTAATATTTGCTGTGTGGCCTCCTTAATAACCCCATGGGACATGTTGACCAACACCACGCTGAATAGATGACCATTCCAAAGCACAGGGAAGTAATATGACCTGTCAACATTCCCTGGTTAGAAAAAGGCAGTCAGGTTTGGCATTTGCATTTAAACTTAGGATTTTTTTTTTTTTTTTGGCTAAAACCGCTGTATCAGTACCCTTCCCCATAAACACACCACCATTATTATACTGAGTAACAGAAAAATTGATCCCCAGAGGTTCAGGACAGGGAATTTTACCCACACAAGAACTCAAGACGTTATGATCCAAGTGGTCACTTATGATCACACATATGATCCCAGTTATTCCCACCTCATGAAAAGGACCTGTTCCCAGGCACCTCGTGCTAGGAGCAGGCAAAGTGGCATATGTAAGACACAGCATTCAGGGCCTAGCCCTTCAGCCGGAGAGGACGAGTGGACGGCAGCAGCCAGCAGGCTGCCAGGCGCACTTACCTGTATGTCTTGTGCAGCTCCATGATCCGCTCCTCCAGCTCCCGGGTCTGGTTTGGGGCGAAGCGGAGCTCACTGACATAGTTGCCCATGTGTTCCTCTGCATCATAGTCACCCAGCTCAGCCTGCACAGCATAGGAGCCCAGCAGGGCATGCGTGACAAAGGAGCAGGGCAGCCGGCCTGTGATGATATCTGCCCTCAGCTGCAGGCATAGGTAATACCTAGACACGGGAAAGAAGTGGGCATGGGTCTACACCTCCAGGTGGTCCAGACCCTGACAGCTGAGCTACCAGAATCGAACAAAATTATCGATGTGGAAAATGGCACCCATAGACACTGGCATTCATGCTGATGAGTGGGTGTGTCCTGTGAGCAGGTTTTTAAGACATGCCATGGGACTTTAAGCATTTTTGTTCATTTCTGAATTTGAGGATTTTTTTTCTACTCTAGAATTTCTGAGATTTATAATTCATTTCCAAGCTCAGTAGGACTACTACTGGTTGGGCCCTTGGGGGGAAAATGACTTGTGGTTTTGCTTATTTGTTTTTGTCAATTGATTTGTTTTGTGTACGTGTGCATATATGTGTGTGCAAGAACATAGATACCACTGTGTGCTAATGGAAGTCAGAGAGCAAGTTTTTGGTCTTTGCTTTTTGTTGTTGCTTTTTTTTGTTTGTTTGTTCATTTGAGTTTTTTTGTTTTTTGAGGCAGGGTTTCTTTGTGTAGCCATGGCCATTCTGGAACTCTCTCTGTAGACCAGGTTGGCCTTGTACTCACAGAGATCCGCCTGCCTCTACCTCCCAAGTGCTGGGATTAAAGGCACGTGCCACTACTGCCTGTCCAGAGAATAATATTTTAAGAGTTATTTATCTTACTGTATGTGAACAAGTGTTCTGCTGGTATGTATGTGTACAATGTGCATGCCTGGTGCCCATGGGGATCTGAAGAGGATGTCAGATCCCTTGATGCTGGAGTTATGGAGGGTCGTGAGCCGCCATGTGGGCACTGTGATTGAACTGGGTTCTCTGCAGGATCAACAAGTACTCCTAGCCACGGGGCATTTCTCCAGCCCCCAAAGCAATCTTGATTGTTGATCCCTGACTACCACCTTGTTTTAGGCAGGCCTTTTTTGTGTGTGTGTTTGATTCTGTATATACCAAGAGAGCTGGCCCTGGAGCTTCTGAGGCTTCTCCTGCCTCTACTTCCTCTGTGTAGGAGCGCTGGGATCACACATCACCACATCTGTCCTTGTACATGGGTGCTATGAAATATTCCTTTATACTGTGTGAAGATACATCACTCAGATTGGTTTAATAAAAAGCTGAACAGTCAATAATTAGGCAGGATTTTCAGGGCAGAAGGGATGCTGGGAAGATGGCAGAGATATGAGGAGTCGCCAGTCAGAGAGGAAGCAGCATGGACAGTACAGAGTAAAGGTAATAAAGCCACAAGACAAAGAGTAGATTGATAAAAATGGTTTAAGTTGTAAGAGCTAGTAATAAGCCTCAGCTGTCAGCCAAGCTTTCATAACCAATACTAAGTCTCCATGTCATTATTGGGGAGCCAGTAGTCCTGATAAAAAGGTCTGACTACACATGGGTTCTGGGGATCCAGACTCAGCTCCACACTTCTGTGTAAGCACTTTTCCCACTGAACTGCCTCCCTAACCCAATTACTTGGTGTTGAGGTAGGGCCTGGAACGCATCATATATCCTAAGCTGTTCTTGCCTGCCTCAACCTTCCAAATGCTGGGACTATATACATACACGATTATGCCTGGCTATCATGTAGTTTTAACTATGAAGTCTAATATGTTCTGTGTCTTCTTTCTCACAGGGTACCACTGTGTAACTCACAGTAACCCTCCCACTTCAGCCTCCAAGTGATGGGCTGACAGGTGCGCAGGACCACACCTTTTCTGCAGTGCTGGGGATGGAACCCAGGGCTTCCTACACATCAGGCAAGCACTCTGCCAGCTGAGCTGCATCCCCCGCCCTGAAAGTTAATATATTCTCAGATGGAAAAAGAAAAAAGAAAGAAACTTTAGAGGTGTGTCTGAGTTTCCTCTTGGTGGTATTCCCAGCTCCCTCTGCAAAGCCACCAGCTAGTCACATGGTATTCTAGACATTTCTCCTCCACAAACAAACAGAAATATATATGGCTTTAATTTATGGGTGTTTTCATATGCAAATAATATCAAATGCGCCGTCTGATTCTAGAGCTTTTTTTGCCACACCCAGTGACGTAATTTAAGAAATGTCTCTGTGTCCGCAATCCACTCCACATGCACTGTAACTTTTGTGCCCGATCCCACAAGATGGACCTGCTTATCAGTGCTTTCTCCAATGGTTCTCCAATGGTTCGTTGTTAGCGTGTGAGTGTGTGTGTGTGTGTGTGTGCGCGCGCGTGTGCGCATGCATGTGTAAGGAGGAAAGGAAGCATGTGCAGAGTACAGAACGTGCAGAGGTCAGAGGACAACTTTGGGAGTAGATTTCCTTCTACCATCTAGGTCCTGGGGATCAAACTCAGGTCATCAGACTTGGTGGCAAATACTTTTACCCGTGGAACCATCTTGCCGGCCCCCTCCCCAAACCTTCTTCTGCCTCCAGCCCTAAGTGAATTGTTTAAGAACCAAACTGGTCTGAGAAAGCATTTCCAGGCACCAGGCTGTGGCTTTTTGCAGCTTACATTCACGGTTGGAGGGTCTGACCATTTAAGTCATTTGCTACCACTTCTGCAGCCACTGTTCATGAAGCTAGCCAGGGCTCTCTCCTTGGCCTTCTCCGCAGGCTTTGCCAATGTCTTCCTAACTGCCCAAGAAGTCATTTCTTAAAAATGACTTCGACTTAGAATTTTTAGTGCTCTGTGACATTTCAAAGTCAGAACCAAAGCCCTGGCAATGGTCACAGCAGCCTCAGTGTGTATTCGGGTTCAGGCGCCACCAGCGCTCACACATCACTGGAGTCCAGCATGGGCCTATGACATTTTGTTCAAGAGTCTAAAAATTTAAAAATCATTGCCAGCGCTCCAGCCAATCTTTCATTTCAATCAATTTGTCATTCTGACTGGTTTATTTTGGGCCTCACTATTTTTGACTAAATCAGCTGCTCTTACGACCCTACCTTCTGGAGCCATCTGTGCTGGACAGCGCTACCCTTTCCCCTGGTGTCTCTGGAAGCTCAAGATCCAGGCTCTGGCACAGAGAAGACACATTCTGGTGGCTGTGTTGGCCTAAAGCTTTGGACTGGGATATGGCTGCTGTCACCTTGGCCCCAAGCAGATCTCAGGGCTTAGAGTGGGGCTAATGAAGCCAAGGCCCGGGACCTGCTCTATTCCAGGAACGTCTGTCATCTCTCCCAAGGCCAGAGGCAGCATCTTGAACTTGGTATATTGCTTAGTCAATGGGTATCAGGCATTAAAAATGGACCTGATATCCAAGGCTGGTTGTATAGGCCTATAGCTTCAGACTAAGAAGGCTGGGGCAGGAGGATCAGAAGTTCAAAGCCAACCCAGGAAACTTAATGAGACTGTCTCAAAATTTCTTAAAAAGTGGCGCTGGGAAGATGGCTCAGTGGTTAAGAGCACATACTGCTTTTCCATAGGACCTGTGTTCTGTTCCCGTAGCCCAGCAGAGTGGTTCACAACTGCCTGAAACACTAGCTCCAGGAGATCTGAAATCCTCCACAGGAACTGACACACATGGCATACCTTCACACAGACATGTACATGTAAATAAAAATAAATATTAAAATTTTTAAATAAAAAGAGGTCTGGAGACACCGCTTATGCAGAGGGCTTGTCTAGCACTCACAAGGCCCTAGGTTCAAACCCCAGGACTCCCAACAAAAGAAAAAAGAAAGAGAAGTAAGGAACCAAGTGGGAGGGTGAGGGCAGCTTAGCCATCCCACCCTCTGCAGAAGAACTCCACGCCCGTGTCTTACTTTGGGTGTAAGTCCCATGATGTGACGGGTGCCAGAGCAGGATAGCACGTAACGAGCCCATGTCTTTGACAGGATTAAAGGCAGGGGCTTCTCCTTGCTCTGCTTTCCAGAGGCAGGATGGGCCCAGCAAACTCCCACCCTGAAGGATGCTGTCCCTACTGCCAATCCTCAGGTCCCTTGAACCTGAGTGGTCCATGTGCACCCCAGCAGCCCAGACAGCCTCCACTGGGCTCAGGTGCCTCCTTTCACCTCCACACTCTCCTGCACAGAGGACACCAACCCCCCCCCCCCCGCCAAGCCTCTCTTCCTTCCTTCTTAACACCACAAACCAGTGCTCTGTGCAGAATATCAGAGCACGTGTGCCAGGTCATCTGGCTCATAGAGGGTCCCCTCTGAGATGAGAAAAAGCTTGTATTCACTGTCAAAATTTAAAATATGTGGTTTTTCAAACACAAATATCTAAATATCTAACTTCACTCAACTTTCAGGTCCAATTCCCACAGGTCAGTGACTCCCAGAGTGTGTCAAAAATCATTGTAATTATTAAAAATATATTAGCAGAGAAAGAGAGTGAGAGAGAGCACGCATGTATGCATGTGAGAGAGAGCGAGAGGGTGGAGGTGGGTAATGATGACAGGACATGTATGTAGAAGTCAGAGGACAACTTCGGGGAACTGTTTTCCTTCTATCTTTACATGGGTTCCAGGGGTTGAACTCAAGGAGCCAGACTTGTACAGCAAGAGCCCTTACCTGATAAGCCATATTGCCAGACCACAACAACCATTTTAGGTACATCTGCCTTTTGAAATGCACAATGGCCCCGACGGACCCCTCTGACACCTTCTCCAGGGTTAAAGGCAGCTGCATTTGGGTCCTGCTTCCCTCTAGTCTCTGCTGTCTTGAGATAGTCTCTCTGGGAGCGCCATCCGCATTTGCCATTCCCACCACAGTCTCTGTCTCCCAGGGCCAGCACGCCCAGCCCTACTCACTGTTCCACAGGACCAGGGCATCGACCCCTCTCTTCGTGGTTCTTACCTTGTGATGTCTTCTGTCAGCTGGGCCGGGTCAGGAGGATAGAACTTGACTGTGAAGGCAAAATTCCAGGGGCTGCCTAAGAGGAAAATGCAGGAAGGGTCAGAGGGGCCTCGTCATCCCAGTGGCTGTCTGGGATGCAGCAGCCTGTGAGCAATCCTCCACAGGTTTCCTACTCTAGGACAATCGATCCTGGAACGTCATTCCCATTTGATGGATAAGGAAACTGAGGCCCAGGCTAACAGACCTGCGAGGAGGCCTGCGAGGTGCCTGCCATGAAAACCTGAGGACCTGAGCGCAAACCCTGAAACTCATAGGGCAAGGAGAAACTACTGAGAGTTGTCCTCTGACCTCTGACCTCCGTGCGTGTGCTGTGGCATGCCTTTCCTCCCTCTCTCTCTCTCTCTTTCTCTCTCTCTCTCTCTCTCTCACACACACACACACACACACAAATAATAAAATACATTTCTTGAGAGAGTTGTGAGCTAACAATGGGAAAGAAGATAAAAGAAAGAAAAGTAACCCTGCACACCACACACGTGCACTGAATTGCTTTACTAAACTATGATTTTGAGAACATGGAGGCCCAGGCAACAAAAGTGACCAGCTTTCCCCACAGGCATAGGAATTTAATTTCATAATCTCCCTGAGAGTGAGGATTTTATTGATTGATTGGTTGGTTTTGTTGTTGCTGTTTAGGTTTGTTTTTGTTTTTGTAGCACTCACAATCAAACCCAGGGCCATGAACATACCAGACAAGACTCTGCCAGTGAGCTCCCTTCCCAACCTGAGTTTCCTTTCCATAGACAAACGTTTTAAGGATCAATCAACTAATTAGTAACAGAGAACAGGTTTCTCTAGCCATCTGACCCCATAGCCCAGGCTCTTAATCACAAAGACCCCTTAGAAAGCAGCAAGGGACACAAGCCCTGTCTCAAGGAGGGAAGCAGAGCCAGCAAACGGTGCTCAAAGCTGGTGCATGCGGGGTGCACGGGGCAGGCACTGTGCGAGTGTCACACGTATGTCAGAGACCCCGTTTCATCCTCTCAGCAATCCCAAAGCTGTGCTATCATGACCCCACTTTGCAGGGAGGAAACCGAGGTACGGAACAGCTACTCAACAGAGGAATTAGGACTTGAACTAGAATTCAAATCCAAGATGTGTCCAGAAGAAAACAGCCACTGTATCTGGCGATGTCCAAGGGTATGTCACTTGCTGTCACTCCCAGCTCATGAGGCAGGGACGGCTAGGCCATTTGCACGAAGAATCAGAGACTCAGAGGACCTGTTCAAGGTGTCTTAGGTGACAGGTAGTGAGGCTTGAGGGGAGAGATACCTTTCTCAGAAGCCCAGGATATAAGGGCTCACGAAGCCACCATCAAGGGTGCGGAGATGTGACCAACAACAGAAAGGAGGCAAAACTGCTCTCTTGCAGTCCCAAAGAACAGGACTGGCATTTCAGAGACTGGGACAAAGGAAAGGCTCTATTAGAGAAGGGACATGCATGCGGGCATGCAGGGGTGCATGTGTGTGTGTGTGTGTGTGTGTGTGTGTGTGTGTGTGTGTGTTCACCTTGTTCACGTACATGTGGAGGCCAGAGGTTGATGTCTCCCTCTAATGCTATCTACCTTATTATTATTATTATTACTGCTGCTGCTATTATTGTCATTATTATCATCATTTTCATTATTGTTTTGTTTGTTTTTTTGAGACAGGATTTCTCTGTGTAGATCCAGCTGTCCTGGAACTCACTCTGTAGACCAGGCTGGCCTTGAACTCACAGAGATTCCCTTGCCTCTGCCTTCCAAGTGCTAGAATTAAAGGTGTGCATCACCATGACCCAGCTAATATTATTATTTTAAAGATTTATTTTTATTTTACACATGTAAGAGTTTTGCCTATGTATTAAGCACACCATATGCATGCTGTGTCTATACAGGCCAGAAGCGGGTATCAGACTCCCCTGGAACTGGAGCTACAGATGGTAGGTGCTGGGAATCAACCCCAGGTTCTCTGAGAGAGCAGCAACTGCTTTTAATCACCGAGCCATGTCTTCGGCCCCACTTAGGTTTAATAATTTTATACATACATACTGTGTATCCTGATCACATCCTAACAATTTCATACATACATGCCATGTATCCTGTTTACATCCTGACAATTTCATACATACATACCGTGTATCCCGATCATATACTGACAACGTCATACATAAATACCATGTATCCCGATCACATCATGACAATTTCATACATACATACATACCATGTATTTCGATCACATCATGATAATTTCATACATACATACCATGTATCCCGATCACATCCTGACAATTTCATACGTACATATCATGTATCCTGATCATATCCATGCCCATTCCCCCGACACCCCAACATGCCTCCTTCTCACCTGCATGTCCTCCCTTTTTTCTTCAGTTAGTGCTCCCTAACATCGCACAAGTGCCAGGTCATCCACATTCACCTAACTTTCTGAGACCAGTTTCTCACTGAACTTGGAGCTTGCCAGTGTGGCTAGACTGTGGACAGCAAGCCCCTAGAATTTGCCTGTGTTGCACATGCGTGCTGCTCTACTGGCTTGACATCAGTGCTGAGAATCCGCACTCAGGTCCTCAGGCTTAGGCAGCAAGCACCTTCTCTCCTGAGCCAACTCCCCAGTTCTCTAGAGGAGGCACTTCCTGGGACCGAGGCTACACATGTGCAGCCACGGCTTGCGTTGTCGCAGGAACAATAGTCCACGTGTAAGCCAGGTGAGCAGGGCCTCCAGGATTGCTCCAGGAATGACCCTAGGGCCCGGCCATTTGGCCTGGCTGCCTCTTTTCCAGGCTACTGGTTCTTATTAAACTCTGCAACTTGGCTGCCTGTATCTGTACCAGTTCTCTCAAGGCAGGAAAGGCTGGCTTCCCAGCTGGGCAGGCACTACTCAAAGGCAGTCTGAAATTCAGCCCCAGAACCCTGCTGACCCACAGAAGTAGGCTCTGCCTATGTGCCTGCCTCTTTGTCTCCAACCATCAGGAACCTACTGGAAAATCTCCTCAAGCCCCCTCCTATAGAGTCAGCTGGCTTCCCTGGGCCAGCTGCCTGCTGTCATGGCAACAGACTCAGCTACAGCTTCCCAGCCAGGGGGCCAGGGAGTCCAACCCTGAGGAGCCCAAGCATATCCAGGGTGAGTGGGGCCTGGGGTGGAGGCAGAGATGCTCTCTGTCTCCTATAGGTCTGTCTGTGGAGGCTACCAACCTCCTCCTTCCACTATTTGAAAGCTTTCTCACCCCTCCCAACAAGCTGCTTCTCTCTGGGCCAGAAAAGACAGGTTGCCGACCTGTTCATCTGCCTCCTCCCTGGGCACTGAAGAGAACAAGACAAAGGCCAGGGCTCAACACTGGCTCGGCCAGCACTTGGCTCTGTAGGTTTATGTAAGTGGCTGCCACTCTCCAGGCCTGAGTTAGGGGTTGCTAGCTACAACAGGAAGGCTAGCTATATCCAGGTCATCGGTTTAGCCCCTTGTCCTCTGCAGAGCTGAGCTCCTGAACGCATTTGCAGTTTCTTTACCAATTTGCGATGCACTGCCATTTCTGTTGTCTGGGCCTCAGACTTGCTGCTTATAAAATAATGTCAACATCATTCCCACCCTGCCTTCTCTAAGACCTGCCATGTACGGCGAAGCAGTATGGGGATCCAGGAGCACATTCCAAAGCAGATGGGAGCACTAGAGCCAGGCCCTGCCCACCCATCCACACACACCAGCCATGAGCAAGTACTCACTCCGAATCTGCTTCTTGATTTCCTTGGAGGGGTCCAGCCAATTCTGGAAGAGAATTGAAGATTCATCCTTTAGAAGGAAGATGACGGAGTAGGCAGAGTGGGGCTGGGAGAGACAGCTGACTACCGGAAGTGGCCCGCCACAGACTCTCACGGGGAACAATCTTGCCTCGATCGATTTACTTGGCACTAGGGAGTGAGGCCTGGATTCCCAGTGGGGTTTGGTCATGGCGTCAGGCCCGGTATTGCCTTGAGATGGCCACAGTGGCCAACTACTATAGCTATAGCTAGAAGGAAAGTGAGCCACCTGCTCCCACACCTGGAGCCCGGGGAGAAGGCATCCATTGAGGACCGTTCTGTTCCCTGGGGAACCCACAGAGCCATATCATAGTTCTCCAGGTACCTTAGGAAAGACTGGGGGCAGGGAGCTGGGTCAGAGAACTGTGAGTGGTCAGGGCTGCTGGTGCAGAAACAGAGGATGCCTACTGAGGGTCTGGGGGACCGCCTCCGTGCCCACCCGCCAGGTACCTTCTGGCTGTCAGCATCACAGAAGGTCAGACCGAAGTAGTCCTTCTCCAGGAGGTTGAGGTGCTCACAGACCAGGTCAAACAGCACCTGGCCCCGGCCGTGCTTCTGAGGGAGAGAGACGAGGCTACCATGAGGCTGGTGCCCCTGCAGGTGAGGCGGGGAGCTGACCCAGCTTCCCCTGAACAAACACGGAGCCCCCATGAGCCTCCCTGTGGCTGGGCAGGACCTCAGCACTCCGCCACCTGGAACCCCTCTCCGGGTCTCTAATGCCCACCTCATCTAGGTCTCCCTTGCGAGCCCTGTCAAGGTCTTCCTAGACCACGGACCCGCTTGGGAGCGTGCTGGAGATTTCCCCTTGACAGAAATCAAGAGAAGGGGCTGGAGAGATGGCTCAGTGGTTAAGAGCATTGCCTGCTCTTCCAAAGGTCCTGAGTTCAATTCCCAGCAACCACATGGTGGCTCACAACCATCTGTAATAGGGTCTGGTGCCCTCTTCTGGTCTGTGGGCATACACACAGACAGAATATTGTACACATAATAAATAAATAAATACTTAAAAAAAAAAAAAAGAAATCAAGAGAAGCCAAAAGCCGAAGTCCTAAGGGTTGGGGGTGAGAGGAAGAGAAGATGCCCAATGTGTGTGTGTGTGTGTGTGTGTGTGTGTGTGTGTGTGCGCGCGCACGCGCGCGCACATATCAGCCCTTAAATGGTGACATTCTTACCAAGGTACGGCCACCCTGAGACACCTTTTCCTGGTGCCAGTCTGTGTTGGGTCTTATTTGGATTGCAATAGTGATGACCCTTTCTGAACCTCAGTGTCACCATCTGTACGAGGGAGTGCCAGGCCAAGCCACCCCTCCGGACATCGCAGTTGGTCCTCCTCTGGGTTGGCTTGGACTCAGGACACGCAGGAGCTAGCCTGGCACGGAGGCCAGCGGGCCTGGGGCAGGGCATATGGCACTGGGGGCTCCCTACCTCCACCTCACACTCGTACTCAGAGGCATCGAGCAGAGTGACTCGGCAGATGGCGCTCTTGAACTTCTTGGCAATCTTCTGGGGCGACTTCTGGGCCTTACTGGGCGTGGTCCTTTCCGACAGGCCATCGGCCTCACAGTAGTCCTTGTCCTCCATGTCTAGGCTCTGTGGGGCCACAAAGAAAGAAGTCAGCGGACTTGAAACAATAAGAAGTGACTGGGTGGCTGAGGCCAAGGTGCACCCTAGAATAAGAAGTGACACCTTCCAGGACCCAGGGTGGCTGGGAACCATGGTTGTGGATATAGGTGATGATTTATTATTATTATTATTATTATTAGTAGTAGTAGTAGTAGTAGTAGTAGTAGTAGTAGTAGTATTTTCAAGACAGGGTTTCTCCTTGTAACAGCATTGGCTGTCCTGAAACTCACTTTGTAGACCAGGCTGGCCTCGAATTCACAGAAATCCTCCTGCCTCTGCCTCCCAAGTCTTGGGATTAAAGGCGTATGTATGCCACCCCTGTCCGGCATAGGTAGAAATTTGACATTTTCATGGGAGTTGAGGGGGCCGTGTCTTCCTACAGACTACTGCTACCGTGGACAGCCTCTGCAGACAGGAGCAGCTCAGAGAACTAAACTCACCACCAAGCTGGCCTGCCCCTCTCCCTAGAGCAGTGCTTGACTCATCAGGGCGTCTGACTGCACTCTCCCGGCTTCCCCGTCAGCGGGTCTAGCATGAGGCTGAGAGCTATGGGGATCACAATAGAGGGAAGAGCTGGCTCCCTCCAGAGTGTAGGCAAGACCTCACCCTCTGAGCCTGTCATGAACCAGGGAGGCATAAATGGAGAACTCAATAGCCTTTAGTCTCCTGTAGTTTTCTGGGGATGAGTTCTGTCAGGGTCTCGCCGGGTTTGCACACTTGAGTAAAAAAGGCCAGAGACTAAAGTAGAAAGGACTGTTTCTGGAATCAGTTTTGGGTCTGACCTCCACCTCTGGAGCTGTATTATTATGTGACTTGGGGATCTGGGTACACTGAGTCACAGATCCTCTCATCATAAAATGGGGGGAAATGACAGCTCCCCTCTGCAGACTGGGGGATTAAATATAAAATGACCCGTTGTGCCCCCAGCCCAGAGCTCAGCACGTAACAAGTCATAAATGCATCTAAATCTCCTTTTTCCCTTCCTGCTGAGAAAATGCTAGGGCCCTAGGAACTGGACCAGGAGGACTAGTGGGGCGGGAGGAGGGACAGCCCAGGCCCCGTTACACACCTGTTCAGCAGGCCTCGTATCCTGCTGGGGCAGATGTTTCTCATTGGAGTTGGCCTCTGGGTGGCTGTGGCCTGCGGGGGTCACCGGGGTGGTCACAGCTGCAGCAGCCTCAGGCTGCTGTGGAGTCTCCTCCTGAGCCTTCTTCACCTCAGAATCGGGGCCTGTCTCTGTTGTCATGGTGACCAGCACGCCTGCATTGGAATGAAGGCGAGCATGTGATGGGGTGGGGGGAGATGATAGTGTGACAGCGAGGGGGCAGGAACCGCACGCGGTGAGGGACAGATGGAGACAAATGGACAAAGAACCAGAGAGAAGGGGGTGGGGTGGGGCAAAGGGATAGGGAGGCACGAGACCGCAAGGAGTTAGTGGCCCCGAGGAAGTCTCAGGCTTCCTTTCCTCTGTGTCCACAGTTACATAGAAATCCAGAGTTCTTGGTTCAGACCTGGGATCTTGACCCTTTCTAAGGATAATGAGGGTCTCTCTAGGGCACTTTGCTCTGCACGGGGTGCCAACAAGGCCCTGGCCAGGCTGACTCTCCCACTACACCTGGCCCATGAGCACATGACAGCCCCTTAGTTAATGTAGGGCACACGGAATGCAAACTGAGAAAGCCTTGGGTTTCACACACACACACACACACACACACACACACACACACACACACACACACACCAGCCCCAGATTCACAGGATGCCGTGGATCACCGTGCTGCCCAAGGAATGCTCAGGGTAGCAGGGTTCAGCCTGTATGCAGCAAACGTGTCACCTCGCCTCTCTGGGACTCACCCATAAACGGGTGAATATCTTTGGGACAGGCTGTCCTTAACAGTTTCCTCTTTGAAACATTAAATGAGATGCCAGAGAAAAGCAAGGAGCAGCTGTCCAGCTGTCCTGCTGGAATTAGCCAGATCCTAACAGTGCCGCTTCATGGTTTATTCATCCTGTAAGAGATCATGAAGGACACTTGCCACCGTCAGGAAAAGTTAAAGGGAAATGAAAAGACCTGCAGGGATGGGAGGGAGAGGAGCAGAGGCGTCGTTTCTGCTCTAGACACTTCGTAATTACTTGGATCTCTGTTTGTTTGTTTGTTTGTTTTTGAGACAAGGTCTCACCATACAGCCCACACTAGCCTTGAACTCACTATGTAGGCTATGCTGGCACTAAACTATTTTTCAGATTTTTATAGTTGTTGCATGTGTGCACAAACGTGCATGCACATGTCATGGCATGTGTGTGGAGAACAAATTTTCAGGATCTGACTGTCTCTTTCCATGATGGGTTCTGGGGATCCAACTCAGGTCTTCAGCTGTGTGCTACAAGCACTTTTAGCCATGAAGTTACCTCAACAGCTAAGGTCTTGAACTCTGATCCTTCTGTTTCAGCCTTCCCAATGATAGGACTACAGGTGTATGCCATCCCATCCAACACTTGGGTATTTGTAGTAAGCATGTTAATGTGTAAGTCTGTTTTGTTTTAAAGGCAAAAGCACTTGTTCATGACCACAACCAGGATATATATATTATATTATATATATTAGATATAGACTTAATATACATGATTATATATATATATAATATATATAAGAGTAAGAGAAATGATGGATAGGAACCATTACTCCTTAGTCTAGACTTCTCTAAGTTCACTGTATCTCAGTATATGAGAAAGATCCACACAAGACCTGGTGGGAACCTCTGCTCAGACGGGCAGGCATACTGAACACTCTGAACCATGCACATGCTTCAGGACTCACACTTCCATTTATTTATTTATGTCAGGTGTGGTGTCCCACCTCAGCACTTGGGAAGCTGAGGCAGGGGAATTATCACAAGTCTGAGGGCATCCTAGGTTACAAAATGAGACCTGTTTCAAAAAACCAAAATCAAACCACATCAAACAAAACATTTTAATTTATTTACTTATTCAAATGTGTGGAGGGGATGGGGGTGGAATCCAGGGTCTCAGACATGCTAGGCAAGGCCCCCGGCCATTCTTTTTTATTCTTTGGTACCTTCATGCATTCCCATGGGCACTGGACTAGCCCAACGCAAAGGGCACTAGGCAGACTACACTGAGCCCGGGGCTATGAAGAGGCCATGGTGTCCTCCACTCACAGGCCCACATGGAAGTCCTCAGCAGCTAAAGCTGGGGCACAGACAGGAGCTGTGTGTTTTCCCGGTGCTGCTGCGGTGCAGCCAGGTGGGAGGAAGGGAGGACTGTGGCCACACTGCAGTCCACTCAGGGCTCTTTTCCAGCCATGACCCTCCACCACTCCCGTGAGCTCTGACACCACAGCAGCTGCTTGGAGGGAGTCCCAGGCCACTCAGGGTCAAACTGAGTCCTGTCTGCTAGCGCAGGACCTTCCCTGGGCCTAGGCCTGAGGATAGCCAGTCCTCAGGTCAGGCGGGGTCAATAGGCAAGAACTCTAAATAATTTTGCATTTAAATGGACCTTGAGAGCTAGTTTGGAGGTTCTAGGAGAAGGTTCTCCTCTTCAACCCAGCATCAGGAGGGGAGGGGCACCAAAGGAGAGAGGAAGGAAGGGGACACCTGCCTAGCCAGCCGAATCAGCCCTGGCGATCAATGGGATGACAGACTTAGCAGTCAGATTATCTTCACACCCTAATTTTGCATTTTAAAAAATCCTAAAACTGGGGCTGGAGACTTAGCTTAGCGGTTAAGAGCATTTGGTCTTCCTCCAAAGGATCTGAGTTCAAGTTCCAGCACCACATCAAGTAGCTCAGAACTGCCTGTAACTCCAGTTGTGGGTTGGGGAGGGATGTCTAACTCCTTCTTACAGTCTCCATCATCACCAACACACACACACACACACACACACACACACACAAACACATGGCAAACACACAAACAATAAAATAAATATTTTAAAGTATTTCTGAGAAAGACTTATGCAGTGACAGGCAGAGTCCACGTGACCCTAGTGTCCAGGCAGCCCCAGGGTACAACCACTCCTCTCCTGCCTGTGTCCTCTGTTCAGGGCTTCAGACCACGACTGGAACTTTTCCCCTACCTGAGTCTTCCTGGAAATAGGTAGGAAAGCAATCTTAGGTGAATACCCCAAATTTCACAGCCTCTGATAGCCAGTGCCATAGGTAGGAAGGGCTGGACACCCTTTGAAGACTATGTCACTTCTGTCACAGTAGGACTCGGACTTGAGTGACAGTCACTTCCTCAAGCAGTGGGCTTAGCTTCCATCCTACACACTTCCCCACGGGTTGCCTAGCTCTCCAGATCTCCCCGGCATACAACCACCTCCAGCAAAACGCCCAACAGAACCTCCTCAAAGAAGACATGGCCCAGGCCCAGGCTGAAGTAAAGACCAGCTGGGTAAAGAAATGCTGGGGACCCCCAGCCCCCATAAAAAAAAGGAAAAAGGTAACTGCAGTACTCAAAGCCTCAGCCAGGAATAGAAACACTTTCGCTTGCCTGGAATTGCTGCCGCCCGTCCCTCCCCACCTTCCAGCTTAACTGACAGCTCATCATTCCCTGCATTAAAATTTCAAACTCCTTTATCCCGACTTTCTCATCGCATTCGTCTCAGCACACCCCGTGAATCTTCAACTACCTTCTTACATAACACTTCTGCACGAGGAAAATAAGGAAGAACATTGCTCTTAAATACCCACTGAGGTCCATCACCTGGGCGACGTAGCCCAGCCCTTCCTCATGCCTTCTGTCTGGGCTGTGTTCTTTCCTGAACATGTGGCTGAACTGCTCCCCCTTCCAGGAACCCTTCCCCAGCCATCTCCCCACCAAAAGATCTGCATGCTTTTTCCACCCCATGGAACACTCTTTTCCCTGCACGCCTTTGGCGAGCATCCTCTGCACTGACTGGCTATTGACTTTTCCCCTTGGCTCTCTTAGGGCTATGCTGTGCACACTGTGTTGTTCCTCCCAGGGTCAAGGGTCGCATCTACTGGAAACAAGAACTGAAGAGTACTCAAGAGAGGCTATTGTGGTAACACGTGGTATTGTGGTGAAAAGAATGGACCCCAGGAAGACAAGGACTAGATAGAAGTCACCAAAAACAAACAAACAAAGGCCGTGTGGGACTCCAGGAAAACACTCTGCTTCTGTACCACGTTCTCCAGACACATCAGCCATTTATTTATTCTTGTTCCAATCATCACGACACCTCATTTCTTCATCTACGAGTGGCAATTATTTCTCCTTTGGTGGATGTGTCTCAAGATTGCATATTAAAATTACCTAGACTGCATATTGTACAAATAAACTTATTAAAATACAGAGAATTTTATATTTGAAAACTCGGCACACTGTTTCCAGGGATTTTAAATTTCAGTACAATTTTTCAGGATTGTTATTTTGTTCCTAAATACTTCAGCAACCTCCCTATCTGTGGCACATCAGGCTGGTTTATTTTCACCCCTTGAGTGTCCTGATAATTCCTAATTCTTAAAACAAACCTACTCGCCAGGCAGTAGTGGTACACACTTTTAATCCCAGCTCTTGGGAGGCAGAGGTAGAACTCACCTCTGTGAGTTCAAGGTCAGTCTGTGAGTTCCAATACAGCCAAGGCTTTTACACAGAAAAACCCTGTCTCAAAAACAACACACAAACAAAAATGAAGCACACTCAAGAACACATACCCTCACACTTTAACAACCTTTCTGAGACTGGGGATTTCTTACTCTCAGTCCTGGTCTCCAGTGTATCTCTTTGGGAAGTCCTAATAGTCTATATTATACTACCAATAAAATGGGAACATAAGGCAGGCATTTACTTTCAACTTGTGATGGGTTTGTCAGGACATACCAATTTGGAAAGTCAGCGGTATCTAGGGCAGTCATTCAGCAAAGCATCAGCTGTGGTCGGCTCTGGGCGACAGAACAGACTAACATTTTTCTTCTATTTAACTGTAGCTTGCTTGAGACCCGGCTCCTGTCAAACGCCTGGCCTCAAGGGATCTTCCTCCCTCATCCTCCCAAGCAGCTGGGACTTCAAGAATAATGCTGCTGATCCTCCTTTTTGCCATGCCCGGAATTCCCTTCCTTCTCTTTCTTTCTTTTCCTCTGCCTGCCCCCACTTCTTTCTACATTTGGTTGGCCCAAAACTTGCTATGTGAACCAGGCTCGCCTCAAATTCAGAGATCAACCTGCCTTTGCCTCTGCCTCCCGAGAAGTGGGACGAACGGTGTGGACCACTAAGCTGCCA